GCTGTTTTCTGCTTTTTAAAAACTGTTCTGGGTGTTTTTGCACCGTGATTTTGGGCTGGGGGGTTTATGTTTCTGTGCTGTGATGGGTCTTGGGGGTTTGTTTGTTGGTTGGTTTTTTCCCCCATTTACAATGGGTCTTGGGGGGGTTGGTTGCTTTTTGGTCCCCCCCCATTTACGATGGGTCTTGGGGGGTTGGTTGGTTTTTGGGTGTCCCCCCCTTTTCTGATGGGTCTTGTATGCTTCCCTTGTTTTTTGCTTTGTTTTCTGTGCATTTCCGACTTGCTCTCTTTGTTCTCTTTGCATTTCCGATCTGCTCCATTTGTTCTCTTTGCATTTCCGACCTGCTTTCTGATGGGTCTTGCATGCTTGATTACTTCCCCCCACCCCTTCGTCCGGAAGGGATTAATCACATTTCCAATGGATCTTGCAGTGATTTTTTTGTTGTTATTTGTTCTTTTTTTCTTTGGTCGTAACGGATTAATTGCATTTCAGTGCATTTCAATGGGAAATGGTGCTTCAATGTACAACCTTTTCAAATTACGACCATCTTCCTGAACCAATTAATTTCATAAGTCGAGGCACCACTGTATTTGTTTATCCATCTCCAGCTCCAATCTTGTCCCCTCCACCTATACTTCATATTTGTCTGAAGGCCCATGGTCTGTCCTTTAGGAAAAGGCTGAGCTAAAATAAGAATTGAGCACTTCTGCCTTTTATTTGTCATCTGCTATCATTTTTCCATCTCCATTGAGTAGTTGTGCCACTTCTTTGTCTTTTGCTTCACACATACCTGAAGAATGCTTTTTGTTGCTTTTAGTATTTCTATCTAACCTCAAATCATTCCCAGTTGTTGCCCTCCTAATGCCATCCCTGTATTTCCTTGCTCCTTGTCTGTACTCTTCCTTTGTGGCCTGGCCTTCTTTCCACTTCCTTACGTGTCCTTTTTTGTGTTAAGATCCTGTCTGAGCTTTTTTTGAAGCCACTCTGGCCTCTTTTACTGTCTTCCACCTTTTTTTCTTTGTTGGTATTGTTTGTAGTTGTGTCTTTAGAATTTCCTTTTATAGAAACTCTTGGACTCCTTTTTCTGTTAGGATCTCCTGCCATGGGACTTTACCAATCATTGTTCTGAGTTTATTAAAATTGGCTTTCCTAAAATCCAGTGTATATGTGCAGCAAGACTCTACGTTTTTTTTTCCTTTGGAATCAAGAACTTAAGTACAACATGATCACTTTCCCCCAGAGTTCCTCTTGCTGCCACTCCTTCTACCAAGTCATCTCTACTGGTTAGAATCAAGCCAACAATAGCTACTCCTCTAGTTTCTTCCTCCACTTTTCGTAGGAGAAAATTATCAGCCGCACATGTGGTCACTAGAGAACATGGCAAACCAAACCACACCAAAAGTGAACCAAATAGTAAGCTATCTGTCCATCTGACCACCCTCTAACACTCCTTTTACTTCTGATTGTCCCCAGCTGTAACTAACTGCATTTTTACCATCTAAATTGGCACTATCCTTTTAGTTCTGATTGTCCCCAGCTGTAACTACAGTAACTGCATTTTTACCATCTAAATTGGCACATACCTTAGATGAGGAGGTCAAAGTGAAGGATAGAGGTGGCATTTCTGACCATTACAAGTTTTTAAAGAGCCTTTTAATTTAACATGGTTATAAGCTATCAAGTTAAAGTTGTTCAGTTAATCTTAGCTTTGCACTAACCCTGTATCTTTCACAGCCAGTCACTCAGGAATATACGCTATAAGGAATCCACAGTATGGACTACTCATATAAGGCTTCTATAAGTCCTACTGAAATGAATGCGGTTTGTTTAAAATCATTTTCTTGCTCCAGTGCAATTCATATTAAATTCATCGGCTTTTAGCAGAAAGACAATTCTGATGGATAGTATCAATACAATTGCTTGATATATCTCAGAATAAGTGTTACCTAATATTATCGGTCTTTTTCTTCCTTCCAGCTCATTTTAGCAAGCCCATCATAAATGAGAAACCTTTGAATGCCTGCGGACCAGTATGGCTGACACTAACATGCACTTCTGATGGAGGATATCCAAGGCCTATGATGTTAGGATCAATCAATAATAACACTGAGACATGGCATACTATTACCACACAAGACAATAAAACTGGACGTTTTCAAATTACTGGCAACTTGCAGCACAACATGACTGAAAATATCCTGGTCCACTGTTCAGTTGAATATCAAGATCTCAAAGTGTCTACCAACTTTAGCTTGTGTAGGTGCCCTCACCACTATGCCAGGGTGTCGTTGTTCATTTACAAAATGTAGTAGTCCAGTTGACCATAGAGATAAATTGTTAAAGTGTTTTAAAGACAAGATTATGCATTGTCCTGTATACATACAGTATTTGAAGTATTATGAGTAGAGATTCATACAAACCAAAGAACAAACCAGAAAAACCGACAAATTGGGCTGGTTCATGGTTTGGTTTGCAACCCAGTTCAGGGATTGTATTTTGCCAAAGCAAAACAAAGCATTGAACTTTTCCCCCTTCAGCACTTAATTTTGCTTCAGCAAAATGGATGCCCACCTTCCCCTTCCTACTGTCCCATCACCTTCCTATGGGAGGAAGTAGGAAGGGAGTAGGCGGGACCACAGTGGGGGCTCCGGGGATGGCGTGACAGCACAACAGGAGCAGGTACCCGTCGCCACTCAACACAAACCAAAAACTGAACCGCAAACCAGAAACTATCACAAACCACCATTTTTCAGGTTAGTGAACATCTCTAATTAAGAGTCTTATTTCTGGTTCAAAAATTGCCCAGTGTGATGAGTGAAAACAAACTGGACATGGATCTTAGTCACACATACAGTAAGTTCTATTGGTTGCATCCAGGTTTAGACACATGCAACTGATCTGTCAGAAGTAGATTTCCTAGTCCCTTTCCTGCTCTGCTCTCTCTAGCACCCTAAAAATGTTATTTGAAGTATTACATGATTCTCCTGAATATGAAGTAGAGGGATTCCTCAAAAGTCAAGCACAGATATTTTCTGTAAGAGGAGTCTTTTCTGTCCACAAGAAGCAGCGGTGTTGAATCAATGAAACCTAAGTTAGTACTGGCTGCCTTGGTTCCTACTGATTTCAATGGATATGCTCAAACTATGGCTAAGTTTGAGTCTAAAAAGCATATTCCCAGTCATTTATTATGAAGAATTATTAGACATTAATATCGATACACATTTATCATTGCCAGTAAACATGGTAGGACATGTAATAAAACTTTTCTCTACAGAATGGATTCCTTCTTTAGTAGTATCAGAAATGCTAGGAAATTACAGCAGATGTTATGTACAGCTACTTAACTAAATTGGTAAGAAACACAAAATTGACAATTTACCTGGGATTAATTTGATATTCCTTTTTTTGTGAATGGATGCATCAATCCTTTCCACATGTACGAGATCTGAAGCTTAAAGAAAAAAAAAGAGGAAATATAACCTTTATGCATACTGTATATTGATTATATTTCTATGTAAAAGACAAGCTTAACACAATCCTGCATAATTCTCCTCTGAAGTAAGCCCCACTGAACTGAATGAGAATTAACCCCAGCTAAGCGGATACAGTAGTGCAGCCTCATGATTCTTGGTATAGCATGAAGCCTGTGATGATGAGGGCCTGGATTTTACAGTAACCTTTTCTTCTTCCTCATTACAGCAATGTGTCCATTGCCTCCAATGCCTCCTTCGTATGGGATCATTATTGCTTCTGCTGTGCTCTTCATTTTCCTTCTAGCTGGAGTACTACTGAGAATATTATGTTACTGCCACAGTAAGTACAGTTGTCTTTGTGACCTACTACGGTGTTGTTAGGAGCCAATGTTGTATAATGGTTAGGGCATCAGTAGCCCTATTCTAGCACACTGCTGAAAATGTGCAGGATACTAACTGTGGTGGAGGCAGGAGGTGCCTGTAAGCCCTGACCCCACAAGCCCTCCCTACCTTTAATTTTAACTAAAACACACTTTTGTATGTTCAGTTCAAATGTCTGTTGGGAGGCTTATAAGTACATTCCATTAAATATTCTTGCAGCATTCCTGTAATTGGCAGAAATCAGCTGACCTTCACATTAGATGTGACATCTGGGGGAGCAGGAATGTTGGGTTGCGACTTATGTGTGCCCCTGTGTCCCTAGAGCAATCCCTGCTTCCAAGCTATAATGCCTCAGCAAGACCATTCTGGGACTGGAGACACGTACATTCAAATCATTTGGTCAGGAAGATCAACAAATTACCATGCATATTTCATGGTGATGTCCCTCTCGCTTTCTCTCTCTCACTATTAAGTAAATCAGTATCTACCACCTTAAGTCTATCTTACAAGTTATTATATGTTGTGGAGGGTGGTGCTGCTGGAAGAACTATATACTGTCATTTATACTAGAAAAGGTGTGAAGAGATCCCTCATTAAGTTATAGCCATGATATAATACACCTACTTTACAAGTAATGTTATTTGTAGCAAGCTCTGGCCACCTCCTTTTGTATGTGCTTTCATTGTATTCTGGGAATGCAGGACCTCCCCAGAAATGTGGGCACTGTACAAAGTGGTTTCTGTTTTTGCATTAGCTCTGCTAGATTGCAAAAGGGCATGAAGCCACAAACTCTGTGGGCCTTCTGCTCCTTTTTTTCCTAGGAAGCCTTCAACTTCCCTATACTAGCCATATGGTAAAGAAGAAAAATCCCTTATACCACAAATGTCAGGAAAATAAACACGGGCCTCGAAAGCAAGGACAGGAGCTTATTCCTCCTTCACTGCAACCGTAGTTTCACAAAGCCTCCAGAGGGATTTATAATTTTAGCTCTATCAAGTACGTTTGTACTTCAGATTGCCTCACCAGTGGTTAAAAAGTAGATTCTACTATCCAGTTATTGTAGCATTTTCAGTGTTAAAGGCCCACTCTTTTCTTTTGCACTGTTTGACCAAGGGAGCTAGTGATACAGAGAGAGCAGCTTTTGGATGCACCCCTTCCTGAACATGGTGAGGAGGGCTGAGTGTGTCACGGAAAGTGAGAGTACTATAGGCAGGAAGGGACACTCCATTACAAGTCTGGACACATCGCAGGGTCACCCAAGGGCCAAAGCTGAGACACCAGCTTAATATGCATCCACCCTCTTCAAGAATTAAGTTTTATCAGCAGAAGATAATTGATTATTCCCCTGGAAGTGGAGACAGAAAAGTTCCTGAAGGGCAGCTTCTGGGCAGCAACCGTAGCACAAAGTGATAACTTCAGTGACACTTGTGCAAATTCATGTTAGAACTTCATAGAACAAGAACTTCATATAAACCACTTCTGAACCTGCTGTTCAAAATCGGGTTTAAGATCTTCAAAATGAGAGCTGGTTGAGGCAACACAAGCCAGATTCCACAAACAGAAAAATTCCATATAAATTATGTAGCAAGGTAACAACCACAACAGCAACTCAATGAAGTTGCACTAGAATAAAACAACAGGGCAGGACAACAACTGGACATCCTCTTTATCCCACTCTCCTTTCCACATTATGAAGAACTTTTCCTTAGATTTGCTGACATGATCAATGTTTCTTCTTATGTTAGCCTGCAAATATTCGAGGTCTTCTCACCCCGTCAGATCTTTTCAGCTAGTGGCAACAGCAGAAATGACACCACAGCAGCTCTCCAATGAGGCATCAAGAACAGTATCTTAATCATACTCGACTTGGGAGGTAGGTTTGGTTATCAGCATTCTTACCAGGTAAACTGGATCTTTTGGTGATGCATTCTGGCAAGTGGCAGCAAGGGTGTAAGAGGGAGGTGGCTACAGTTCTACCAGACCTCCTGTTTTGTACCATGCTAAGGCTAGAAGAGCAAGCTGGTCATCACAAACACTCTTTTCCAACACAAAAGGCGACTCTACACATGGACATCACCAGATGGGCAATACCAAAATCAGATGTTCTCTGCAGCCAAAGATGGAGAAGCTCTATTCGTTCGTTTAGTCGTTTAGTCGTGTCCGACTCTTCGTGACCCCATGGACCAGAGCACGCCAGGCCCTCCTATCTTCTACTGCCTCCCGAAGTTGTGTCAAATTCATGTTGGTTGCTTCGCAGACACTGTCCAGCCATCTCATCCTCAGCCGTCCCCTTCTCCTCTTGCCGTCACACTTTCCCAACATCAAGGCCTTTTCCAAGGAGTCTTTTCTTCTCATTAGATGGCCAAAGTACTGGAGCCTCAGCTTCAGGATCTGTCCTTCCAGTGAGCACTCAGGGTTGATTTCCTTTAGAATTGATAGGTTTGTTCTCCTTGCAGTCCAGGGGATTCTCAAGAGTCTCCTCCAGCACCACAATTCAAAGGCATCAATTCTTCGGTGGTCTGCTTTCTTTATGGTCCAGCTCTCACTTCCATACATCACTACTGGAAAAACCATAGCTTTGACTATGCAGACTTTTGTTGGCAAGGTGATGTCTCTGCTTTTTAAGATGCTGTAAAGATTTGTCATCGCTTTCCTCCCAAGAAGCAGGCGTCTTTTAATTTCGTGGCTGCAGTCTCCATCTGCAGTGATCATGGAGCACAGGAAAATAAAATCTGTCACTGCCTCCATATCTTCCCCTTCTATTTCCCAGGAGGTGATGGGACCAGTGGCCATGATCTTAGTTTTTTTGATGTTGAGTTTCAGACCATTTTTTGCACTCTCTTCTTTCACCCTCATTACAAGGTTCTTTAATTCCTCCTCACTTTCTGCCATCAGAGTGGTATCATCTGCATATCGGAGGTTGTTGATATTTCTTCCGGCAATCTTAATTCCAGCTTGGGTTTCTTCCAGTCCAGCCTTCCGCATGATGTATTCTGCATACAAGTTGAATAAGCTGGGGGACAATATACAGCCTTGCCGTACTCCTTTCCCAATTTTGAACCAATCAGTTGTTCCATATCCAGTTCTAACTGTTGCTTCCTGTCCCACATATAGGTTTCTCAGGAGACAGATAAAGTGGTCAGGCACTCCCATTTCTTTAAGAACTTGCCATAGTTTGCTGTGGTCCACACAGTCAAAGGCTTTCGCATAGTCAATGAAGCAGAAGTAGATATTTTTCTGGAACTCTCTGGCTTTCTCCATAATCCAGCGCAAGTTAGCAATTTGGTCTCGAGTTCCTCTGCCTCTTCGGAATCCAGCTTGTACTTCTGGGAGTTCTCGGTCCACATACTGCTGAAGCCTACCTTGCAGGATTTTGAGCATAACCTTGCTAGCGTGCGAAATGAGTGCAATTGTACGGTAGTTGGAGCATTCTTTGGCACTGCCTTTCTTTGGGATTGGGATGTAGACTGATCTTTTCCAATCCTCTGGCCACTGTTGAGTTTTCCAAACTTGCTGGCATATTGAATGTAGCACCTTAACAGCATCATCTTTCAAGATTTTAAATAGTTCAACTGGAATGCCATCACCTCCACTGGCCTTGTTGTTAGCCAGGCTTTCTAAGGCCCACTTGACTTCACTCTCCAGGATGTCTGGCTCAAGGTCAGCAACTACATTGTCTGCATTGTCCGGGATATCCAAATCTTTCCGATATAATTCCTCTGTGTATTCTTGCCACCTCGTCTTGACGTCTTCTGCTTCTGTTAGGTCCCTCCCATTTTTGTCTTTTATCATGTTCATCTTTGCGCAAAATGTTCCTCTAATATGTCCAATTTTCCTGAACAGATCTCTGGTCTTTCCTTTTCTGTTATCTTCCTCTATTTCTTTGCATTGTTCATTTAAGAAGGCCCTCTTGTCTCTCCTTGCTATTCTTTGGAAGTCTGAATTCAAGTTTCTGTAACTTTCCCTATCTCCCTTGCATTTTGCTTCCCTTCTCCTCTCTGCTATTTCTAAGGCCTCGTTGGACAGCCACTTTACTTTCTTGCATTTCCTTTTCTTTGGGATGGTTTTCGTTGCTGCCTCCTGGACAATGTTACGAGCCTCTATCCAAAGTTCTTCAGGCACTCTGTCCACCAAATCTAGTTCCTTAAATCTGTTCTTTACTTCCACTGTGTATTCATAAGGGATTTGGTTTAGATTATACCTGAGTGGCCCAGTGGTTTTTCCTAATCTCTTCAGTCTAAGCTTGAATTTTGCTATGAGAAGCTGATGATCAGAACCGCAGTCAGCTCCAGGTCTTGTTTTTGCTGACTGTATAGAGCTTCTCCATCTTTGGCTGCAGAGAATATAATCAATCTGATTTCGATATTGCCCATCTGGTGATTTCCATGTATAGAGTCGCCTCTTGTGTTGTTGGAAAAGAGTGTTTGTGATGACCAGCTTATTCTCTTGACAAAACTCTATTAGCCTTTGTCCTGCTTCGTTCTGAACTCCAAGGCCAAACTTCCCTGTTGTTCCTTTTATCTCTTGGCTCCCTACTTTAGCATTCCAGTCCCCTAGAATGAGAAGAACATCTTTTTCCCACCAAGCCGGATGGGGTCCTTGCAAGGCCATCAGTACAGATACAACCGGCCCTTTGATGGGGACCAAACTGCTGATGCGGCCCCCGATGAATTTGAGTTTGACACCCCTGCTCTAGTCCATGGGGTCACGAAGAGTCAGACATGACTTAATGACTAAACAACAACAAAAGGCTAGAAGTGCTTCAATTGCAAATGCAGACTAGACGTCACAAGTGCCTGTCCTCCTTACCTTTCATGGAAGGCTACGTTTTTAGAAGATTATGGGAGGCAATACAGATAGGTTAAAACAGGATAATGTGATGGAGGCATAAATCTCATTAAGAATCTCACTGTTTTTTCTCTATAATCTAAACGCTGAGATGCTTTAAGGGAGGAAACAGCCAGAACAATGTGTTTTAACCATCCTGAAGCTTCAGTATAGGAAGAGTTATCCATACCACATACACATAATGTGCCCAACTCTTTCCCAGCTTGAGTAAAACAGGTTGGAGGATAATCAGTTACAGGAAAGAGTTAACAGTTTTCCCCCCACTATGCTGGCTCTTCTACTTAAGATGTACAGTCCTGCACAGGACTCACAGAAGTCCTTGTAATGTATCATTTCACCTCCCAGGTTTCTAACCGGCTGGACACATAATGTTGGGAGGAAAAATGAAATGCCACTTTTCAGAATCAGAAACTTTTCAGTAAAATGAATTTCAAACCAAAGAAGAATTGGCATTTCTTTTCTCTCTTCCCCTTAATAGGAGAACCAAAGTAACCAGAAACTCCTTCCATGGAATTATTTAGAGCAACAGTTCCCAAACATATGAGCACATTGACCCTTTTCTTGATTTTTTGGAAAACTCTCATACCATCCTGCTTCTTCTTTGCCATCGCCCAACCCAGCTTTTACAAAAAATTGAATTCATAATTAACATTTTAAAAAAAAATCTTAGGATAAATTATTTTAAATTAAAAATAAGTACAATAAGTTTTTCTTGCCAAAAAAGTTAATTAAATGTTATTTACCTTAAGAAATGGCAGGAAAAGGGTACATTTAGTGTGAAAGGTAATGCTGCATCTTCTGCAGCTCACAGTACTGTGCCTTCCCTGAAATTTCTTTACATACCACAAAGGGAGGGCGCTCACTTCCACCTGGAGAATGAACGGCTTATGGGGGGGGGAATTCCACCTGGAGTATGGGTTTATGAATAAATCTGCTGGTTTGGATAACTCCAGCCACCATGGCATGAATCAGGAGGCTTTCTTTACAAATGAACTCCTCACCAGGTATTTACTCCTGAGGAGGAAATAATAGTCTGGAAATTTGGTCTCAGTAATACAGAGAAACAATACAGTGGGGTCTTGACTTGAGTACTTAACCTGTATTGGAAGGCGGTTCTCAAGTCAAAAAGTTCTCAGGTCAAATCTGCATTTCCGCGAGCCACTCCTGTCCGGCCCACCAGACATCAAAACCATTTATAGCTTTTTTGCCTAAAGTTGATCAGTTGCTTATCTTTAATATACCACAAAAAAACTCTTTAGTATTTGTGAAGATTAACGTTTAAAATAAAAACAATCATAACATCACTGTTTCATTTTATTTTTAAGTAAAGTTGGTTCGGCCCCTGAACACAGTTCAGATATTTCATGTGCCCCCCCTGAACTAGGGGAAAACAACTGGTATATATTGGACTCTGTGATGAATTTGGATTTTACCTCAGTTTATTTTTATGTTATATCTAAACTGTCCAGAGAAGACACGTTCTAGATGGGCAGTATATAAATCTAAACTATCCAGAGAAGACACGTTCTAGATAGGTAGTATATAAATCTAATAAATAAATAAATATATGTGGTAGACTGCATGAGGGCAGGCCCTACAATTAGGCCTGGGAGGAAGGTGTTGCTGCTTCGGATGACAAAACACAAGGTCAGAAATTCAGGTCACCTCCTTGGCTCTGCCTCTGCTATCTTCACTGGACAGCAGCTGCTCTGGACAGCTGCTGCTCTCAGTAGCTCTCCAGAGCTATCCATCTGCTGGAGTCCTCCATGCCAAGGCATGAAAGGTTCCTGTACCATGGCCTTCTTCTCAAGTGTCCACTGTAATTTTGGGGGATGAGGAGGAGCTACATCCTAGTTAATATATTCACACTTATAATACGCATCATTTCAACAGTGTGTTCTGTATACATTCCAGGATGAGGGGGGACAAGCCCTCCACCATAAACACCATGCTCTTCCTTTGGGTGGTACGTAGATGGGTTCCTTCTGCTGCAGCCACCTCTTCCACTCCTCTTTCTCTTCCATATCCAATGATGGGAGAAGGAACAGAGGTATTGCCACCACTGCTGCCTTCCCCTTGAATGTGATGTGGCAGGGATGGCAGCTGGATGTGTACTTGCGATCTGGGTGTTGGCAGGACAGCTTCACTTGCCCCTGGACAGCACCAGCGGATCCCAAAGAATATATATCTTAGGAACAAATTGGATTGTTGTGCTCTGTTGCTTTTAAAAGTGTTTTCAGTATGGATTTTGTTTTCCAATTTTAATATGATACTTGTTTAATTCTTTTAAAATATTTGTATACTTACTGTTTTTTTTTGCTTTTAAATATAGTCCTTTTAATGATGTAAGTCACCACGGGGCCTTTTAAGAAGAAAAGTGGGGTAAAATATTTAAAATAGAATAAATAATAAATAAACAAAAAGGCTGATCTATGTGCTACCATTATCCAATATTCACAGTAATTAGTACAAAGTGGGTTAGTACAAATGGGGGTTTAATACCTCATTCTTAAGGCATATATATCCAAAGTATTAAAAATGAATTTGCCTGATCAGACCCGGGACCCATTTAATCCAGCATTCTGACTCTAGCAGTTTGGTGGTTTTGGAAGCTAGTGAGATAGGATAAGATGAACCATATAGCATCTTGTGTGATGTTTGGGGGTGGGGGTTTGGCCATAAATTGTAATCTATTTTGTTGAATGACCTCAATTTATAAAATTCTAAGAGGAGAAATGCTACTGCATTTAGTGTCTCAGCATCTCATGCTTCCCCAGGAACAGAGTGTGTCAGAGATGCCGGATAGAACCCACAGAGATTTCCTCTCCTCTGTTGTAAGAGTGCAGTCCATTCCAACACCTCAGCCTACATGTATAAACCAGATCTCAGACAGAAGCCATGAGCAAAGTCTATAATCTGCTGCAGCAATTTTTAACACAGTGTTTTGTATGTTCACAGAACTCCTCTCAAGCATTGGGCTCGACAGACCTGTTTCCTGACAAAATCAGATGTTCAGCATGATATAATTTGTTGGGGGTGGGGAGAACCCTCCTACCAGGTGATAGTTAAGTCACAAATTTGCCTTTAACAAGCCATCTCCCCATGTACAGCAGAAGGAAATAATTACATGGAAAACTGGGCATGATCCTAACCCTAAGAGTGGCTCCACTAAGGTCAACAGTTTATCCATAGTTCTTGCACTTTTGTACTGTCGTTATAATAAAGACTCAGTAAGGAACAAATTAAGCTGCATTGAAGAGGTGGACCTGCAACTTGTAGCTGTTCTGTGCAATTTGCAGCAGAAGAAGGGAAGATACAGGACAAATTCTGAAGTTGGATAAAGCATATCCGAAGAATAATTTTGTTGCCTGCTATGTAGGGAAAGAGTGGTTCTTGTTTTGGAATTTCCCCTTAAATGCAGCTTGTGCACAATTTCTTTCCTGTTTAGAACACAAAAACAAGAAACTATACCTTATAGCATAGCTGTATTGTCTTTGTTGCTATAGTATAGCCTTTTAAAAAGAACAAATGTTAAGTATAGCAAGTGCTGCTTTCTCATTGGCCAGATAAGTACATATTTTGTGTATTTATTGGCTACTGTTCTGACAACCTTTAATGGTATACATAAATGTAAGTATAAATATAAGGTTTGTGTATGTCTGTGTGGCAGGATAAGATACCTTAGGCACCCTTAAGTTTCTTAATTGACTTATTATTCAGTTGTACTGTGCCATCTGCTTTTAAGTATCTACTTCTGTGACAGACTATTGAATGAGAAAATGCTAAATGATAAGGATATTGTGGAGAATGGACTAGGAAAAAAACTTGCATGGAAAGGTAGTGGAGATAAGCTGGACACAAAAAATGGGAATTTCAAAATCATTTGCGAGGCTCAGTCATTCTTACATTTAAACCCACCTCACCCCACCCTCCAGGGTTCCTGTATATTCAGGTGTTTTTTTTTTCCACAAACTGACTCACATTCTGGTTTCATGTTTAGTGTTATAAATAGGTCAGTAGTGAGAAGTGAATCTGGTAGTGTAGCTAAAGCTCGACCTCTGACCTGAAATCCAATAGCCTCGAACTAGGCATGTTAGAGAGAAATCCTTAATTTTTTACATTAAACATATATTTATATGATATGTGTGTTTCAAGTTAAAATAAAGAGGTTAAGGTGAGTTATCTTAAGCAAATTGGGCAAGCTCTCAAGTCTTGATGGTGCTAGACCTGAATTTAGAAAATGATTTTTTATTATTATGCTAGATTAATTTGTTTAGCGTCAGGATAACAGATGCAAGCTATTTTATTTCTATAGTTTTGATGGTGCTATGCGATTTGAGTCTGGAATGGAAAACTGTTCAGATAATTTAATTTTTTTTTTAGGAAGAGCCATCAAACAATGATGAGAGTTTTCATTTTGTTCAGCCCTATCAGGAATATAGAATAAAGGAACATTTGTATAGTACAGAACATTTAGGGCTGGGGGGGGGGAGAGAATTTTTAGTTTTGACCTTCACAACTAAAGTAAAGACCATCTCCAGTGTTTCCCATGAGGCCATAAAGCCCAGGGTCTAAAACTACCTAGCTGAGGTGATCTCCACAAACATTCTTTTGTAAGTCATCCAGTAGAGATTCTACTGCTAGGGACTTAACGTGGCCCTTTATATATTCCTGAACTGCTATTCCCATCCTCCCTAGCTGACACAGGAAATGATGAGGGAAGTTGCACTTTAAAAACATCCTGACAGTCACACACTTCCCACCATGCTATAAGTGCTTAAGCTGCAGTATTTTGCTGCCTATTAAGCTTACATGTTGATTTTTGTAGGCAGTTGTGTGTGTGTGTGTGAAGTTGATTCCAATTTACAGCAGCTCTTCCCAGGGTTTTCTAGGTACATAGTCAGAAGAGGTTGACCAGTCTCTTCTTCTGGGGGTGCTGTGCAACTGTGGAGCTTGTCCAAGGCTACACAGGCTAGCTCTTCTCACAGGAGGCACATGGGATGCTTAACTCTCAGCCTCTAGATGCTCACTGCTCTAGCCAGCAGGGATGTTGGCAAGCATTTGGGTCTGAGTCCCGAGTCTGAGTCTTTGGTACCAAGTCCCGAGTTCCAAGTCCCAAGTTTGAGTCCCTATTAAAAATAAGCTTTTTTTCTCCAGAAAAAAAGGCAAGGTGTACATGGGTTCTGAGTCTTGCGTCGAGTGCAAGTCATTGAAAAAGAAACTTGAGTCCAAGTCGAGTCACTGTTGCAACTGAAATCTGATTGGACAGTCTCATGACTCAGGTCCCCGTTCCTGCTATGCAGGCAGCTGGGCTATCTTATACAACCCAACACTTCAAGTCTGTGAGCATGAAATGCCCATGCTGGTCCAATTAAAAATACATTTTTCTTAATTAATGCATTATCAGTCAATGTATTTGTCCTCTGAAGATGCCGGCCGAAGAGACTGGCGAAACGTTAGGAAGAACAACCTTCAGAACGTGGCCTAAGAGCCCGAAAAACCCACAACAACCATTATCAGTCAGTTGGAAAATCACTGGAAATTTCTATCTATCCTTTCCTACTAAAGAAAAACCACTGCTCCTGTTTTGGTCACCTGATATCATACAAATTCTAGGGAAGTGAAACCGCAGCAAGGAGAACTTCTTTCCTTTCAAGTTACATATCTGGTCATGGAAATGAGAGGTTGATAAGGAACTACGCAGACAGGATGTAGATTTCCACTCTTTGGTTCAACAGAAAGACTGTTTAACCACTGAAGGTGGTAGGTAGTACAATCCCAACTGTGCAACATGGCCAACTTTGGGTTCTGAGATTGTTGCTTCAGAGTCTATATGGCACTCTGATATAATAGGTGTGGATGCCCACTGTTATGTAGCTGATGGAGTGATGGACTAGGACTCAGGAGATGTGGGTCCAAATCCCCGTTTGACTAAGGAAACTCACTGTGGGGTGGAACTGGGGGAAAAAAAACATTTCTTAAAGACCTTGAAAGCCCCATCAGAATTGTTGTAAATCAGTTCAAACTTGATAGTGCATAGCACACAACACATTGCCAAGGTGGTCACAAGTAAGCTTGGCTGTAAGTGATGGGGGTGGCTAGGGGGCTGAGGGGTTACAGAAACATCTTACCTGTTTTATAACATGCTGGGAACAGTATTTCATCAAACAAAAAGTGTTTGAAGGAACCCAGTATTTCATTGAAATCCTAAATTATATATTTCTTTTTTGAACAAAACATATCATTACATATTGTATCTCATTTTCATGTTGTCCTTCTTTATTACTGTATATGAAACTGTAATCAGTTTAAAACTGTAATTATATTGAGAGAAATGTAGTTACTTCCAGGAAATGTTCTTACAACTGGATGGCTTCAGCCTAAGGTAAAGAAGGTTATATTTTGGTTTTATAACACCAGAAAATGTAAAAAAGATGTATGCCTGTTCTTGCTTTTTAATAAAATGTATACCATATTCTGCTTAATAGCTGTGCCCGTGTAAGAAGTGAACTGCTTTCAATTTGATACTTTCATTCTGGATAAAATATTGTTGTTAAATACTTCTTTTTATACTAATTTTCCTGTTAACAACAGAGAAATAGCTTAGGAGAGCTTACGACATGAGCTCGTGAGATGATGACTTAAAAGCTCAGTAGCCACAACACTCTGTTGTCTAATTTACACAATATGATTTGCAGCCTTCCCTCAACTCTCCATCTTTCTACCATGTATCATTCGACTTCTTCACCATGCACACAAGCCTTAGCTTTACATGCAGAAGACAGAATTCTGTGCAATTGATCCTGAGGAAAACACTGTAGGTGGCAAAACTCAGGTGGGGAAAAGCACAGCTACACTGAGGCTACTTGTAGCCATCTTTGCTAGAATGAAAGAGCATACATAGATGGGGAAACGACGTTGGAACCATTTGCATGCTGCTGCATTAAGTGGTCTATATGTACAATTTTTATTACAGCCTCACTGCCAGCTGCCATTAGTAAGATTAAATACTACTTCTCAATACCAGATGTATAGTGCAATTCAATTCTTCAAAACATCTGGTTTATGAATGTGGGATATTGTGCTTCTGTACCCTTGATTAAAAAAGCTAGGAAACGGCTCAATATCATGCTGCCAACAGAAAAAAATGCCAAGCTTTAATTAGGAAAGGGCAGTCTGAATGGCAGCATCAATGGTAGCAGTCAAGATGGTTCACAGGATACCTTCCTCTACTCACTACCATTCACACTTGAAAAACAGCCCTGACAATTGCTTTATGTTTGAGTGAGAAGTGGGTGAGAAGTGGTTAGCAGATGAAAAAAAGAGTCAGCTTCTGGGACTTCCCCTTCTATGGTATCACTATGGTATCACTCTGTGAATTTCCATTGGGGGAGTCCTGTTCAACACCTTGACCCCATTCAGACCATTATTTTGCAATTGCAAAAAGATAATCGTAATGTGGTTTCGTCGTAATACGGGGCAATCATAAAGCAAGGCACCACTGTAACCCTATAGTCATTGTTTTATATTCTATTAATTAAAACAGTGTTAAAAACAGTATTCTTGAATGAACACCTAATCAAGGAGTTCAAACTTTTTTCTTGGCCTTGAACAAATGAGATCTTAATTCAGAAGACTGAAGAATATCCTGTAGACCATCTTGACTACTGCCATCAATGCTGTCAACATTCAGGCTACCATTGGCTATGTAAAGCTTGGCATCCTTTTTCTTGCTAGCAACACAAGCATATTATACATTGAGCCATTTCTTGGCCTTTTGAATCATGGGTACAGAAGCACAATAACCCACAATCATAAACCACAGGTTTTTTTTTGAAGAACTGAGATTTCCTGGCTTTTTAAAATGGGAGTTTAAATATATATAAGGTACAGACAAATGCAATCAGAAATTTCCCTCATACAGAATCACCCAGTGGTACAGGATTCCAGAAAATGAGCATATGATCTGTACTATGGTTACTGGGAGAAGACAGAAGCAAGAACTGCTTGGATATGGTTGTAGTCCCTCTGTGCCAAAATATTTTGAAGGGCTCTTTTGAACGGAATGAAATGGTAAAGTAAAGGTGTGAGTAGGTATAATACATACAATGGACAAACATACACACTCGGTCAAACCAATGTTGCCTGCTCTGCAAAATGCAGACTGGAAAGCTGTTTCAATTTCCATCCCTTTCTTTGAGTTAGGCAAGCTGAGGAAGAAAAGCTATATTGGACCGAAAGCTCTAGATATGTTGTGTGCACATTAAAAAAAAAAATCACTGTTTTTTGAAATAAAAAAGGAAGAGGTTAGGAAAGAATGTCACTGGAAACCAAGGTCAAAACCTGGCACAACACCTCTTTCCAATGTGAGCTGCCTTTTCTACACATTCTTTCCAGGCAGGGTGGTTAAGAATACTGACCTTGAGAGAGGGTGGAAAGACCGGGAACCGCCCTTCTGAGCGGTTGCCTCTGATCTTTGGAACGAGCTCCTACCTGAAATTCGCGTGGCTCCTTCACTGGGGAGCTTTAAATGATTATAGAAAACATGGCTTTTCAGGCAGGCTTTCCCAGAGTACTCAACATCTTAACACAGTGGTAGTTTCAGAATTACACACTACCTGTTATGCCATCTTGTTTTAAACTCCTCTATTACTTTTAGTTTTATGTTGTTGCCAGTTTATGTTGACGTCTATTTTCTTTTTTATTGTTATTTTGCTCACTGCTTTTTATTATTATTTTGTTGTTGTTGTTGTAAACTGTCCAAAGTGGCCCAGGCAGATAGGTGGGCAGCATAAAATTTAAATGAATGAATGAATGAATGAATAATCCATATGATGTGAAATGAAGATAGTGAAGAAAGACAAGGAGAAAAATCAAGTCATTTGAAATGTGGTGTTGGTACAGATACTAAAGACAGCCAGAAAAGCAGAAAAGGCACTTGAGCTTATCCTACCATGCACATATAATGGAAATACAGAAGTGACCAGAATAGACTATATTTCTAGGTAAGTGAGGTGGAGTAGTAGGAAAATAGGAAGCTGAACACGAGAGAGGTTGACTTAGTAAAGGAACCACAGATGTTAGTTCCCAAGATTTGAGCAGAACTAAATGGAAAAGACTGTATTGGCTGCTGTTGCAGCTGTCTCCTTGCTCCTGAGTAAACCGGGCCAAAACATGCCTTGAGATCATCACCAGCCAAAACAAAAAACAAACCAAAAAAACCCCAGTAATTTCACAGATTAAATGAGTTTTTTAAATAAAAAATATTTTCACAGAAAACAATTTAAAATGTTTGGTCAGGAGAGAGTAAATTGCTTTGTTTCAGAGTCCGTTCAGAATCAGGAGTTCAATCTATTTAGAATGGTGGGGAAATTATAAGAAAAAGCTGGCAAACAGCATTTTAATGGCTTCAAAAGTACTAATTGCTAAAGGTCTATTAGAGCAAGAATGGGTTAATTTCTGTGAAGTTTAAAAAACTGACAGCAGAGATACCTTTTTGATAGGTATGCTAATTTATCAATATATTTGATCTGTTTTAAATTGACCAAAGGTTTCTGCTCACTTGTTTCGACATGTAACAACAGTGTTACTTTTTTAAAAAATCGTAATTCCAAAACCCTTTGCTCAAAAGTCCCCAAATTGGAGCAGGAGCAGACTGTCTCCTCCCACTGCACCAAATACAGTATGGTGCTTATCTGACTCTGCTTTTATGTTAGAAGTATTTGTTTGGACTGCCACCTTTTTTAGGGTTACCTGGTAGAATGTGGTTTTCTTAAGCTGTGCAAATACCATCCCTAGGCTCTTGCCTAGTCACAATAAAAGCAACCTCATCGTGTTGTAGCAGAGGGAAACTTGTGACTGCAGGTATATTTAAACTGCAAGAAATGCCGGTGCCCCTGCACTCTGAAGAGGAATTTTTAAGTAGTGGGACTGAAACGTGACTAGGGAATAGATTTCTCAGCCTACAGGCACTATGATTATTTTGAATTATTTGGGATATAGTCACCAAAATTCACTCAACTACTAATGTATCGATTTATGAACAACATTTATGTCCAGTTCTATGTACTCTAGGCACAGTATTCTAGGTCTCATCTAGAGTAGTGTCCAGCTCTGGACACCACACTTTAAGAAGGATGTCAATGAAATGGAGCAAGTTCAGAGGAGGACAACAAAGGTGATCAGGGGACTAGAAACCAAGTCCTATGAAGAAAGACTGAAAGAACTGGGCATGTTTAGTCTTGAGAAAAGAAGAATGGGTGGATATATGAAAACTTTTAAATACTTGAAAGCTAGTCATACAGAGGAGGGCTAGGATCTGATCTTGATCATCCCAGAGTGCAGGATACATAATAATGGGCTCAGGCTACAAGATTTCTGCTGAATATCAAGAAAAACTTCTTAACTGTTAGAGCTGAATGACAATGGAACCAATTACCATGGGAGGTGGTGAGCACTTCAATTCTGAAGAGCACTGAAGAGCATTCAAGAGAAAATTGGACAACCATCTGTCCGATCTGCTTTAATTTAGATTCCTGCATTGAGCAGGGGGTTAGATTTGATGGCCTTATAGGCCCCTTCCAATTCAATAGTTCTAACTATTATATGACACTAGACATAGGCACTTCATATTTGTTTCCCTGTGAAACAAATAAAAACCAGTCCTGCCCCCACAGAACCAGCTGGCCACTTAATGGGCTCTGTGCAGTGATCAGCTCCATCGTCGCACCAACTTTAGAAGCAGCCCAGCCAGCCCTTTCCTGCCTCCCCATGCTGTCAACCACTGCAGCACAGACACGGCACAGGGAATCTGCCCGCTCAGCCAATTAGTGGTTGGCTGCATGGGGAGGCAGAGCAGGACTGGCCAGGCTGCTTCCACGATTGGCACGATGACAATGGTTCTGGGCAGCGGGATTGGACCACTGCAGCACATTCGTATTCTTTTCCCTAGTGCCCATGTTTACACGACACCCAAGGAGTCATTACACCGGCTCATCTCCACAAGATCTACAATTCTCCCATTTTCCTGTGCTAAAAAATATACTGAAAATCTGACTGCAGATGTAAAATAAATTATGCAAAAGGAGAATAAGCACACATTTTATTTGTGTGACCTGTTCTCATCGACCACACTTAGACTGTCACACTGTAACACTTTTTTTTTTACACAGGCATCAACGTGAGCTTATTATATTTACTCAGCTACATCTCCATGCCATATAAATAAAATTACGAATTACGATTTGTGATTCATTAGGGGCACTGATTTGTACAAATATGAATCAACAAATTAGTAATTTTTGAAGAAAGTTGAAGATTTGTTCTTTAATTTGTGCCAATCTCTATTCAGAAGCCTAAACTACTTGAAATAATCTGCTGTGAAATAAGAAATTGCAAATTATTTCTGTAGGCCCCTACCCTGTTATAAGTCATTGCATTCATATGCAGACTGCTCATTCCTGATGATCTCACTTAAACCAATCCATTTATCCCATAGGGAAATATATATATACTGTATTGTTAGCTCTGTAAAATGCACCTTTTCCTCCAAAAAAGGGGGGGGACGTGTGTGCGTCTTATCGAGTGAATACTGTAAAAAAGGGTGCAATTTAAATTCTAACTGTAGGTGGCGAAAGAGGCTTCTTCTTGGTAGCTCTTTCGCCCCAACAACGGAGGAAGGCCAGGTAAGCCCCCGGAGGTCTACGGGGTGTGTGTGGTGGTGGTGATTTTGGCTTGCTAGGCCCATGGGGGGTGGAAGATGGCTGGGAAGGGAAGGGAAGATGGCGATTTCGGCCTGCTAGGCCTGCGGGGGGTGGGGTGGAAGATGGCTGGGAAGGGGAGATGGCGATTTTGGCCTGCTAGGCCTGCGGGGTGGAAGGCGGCTGGGAAGGGAAGATGGCAATTTCAGCCTGCTAGGCAGTGGGGGGATGGAAGACAGCTGGGAAGGGTCTGGGAAGGGGAGGGAAGATGGTGATTTCGGCCTGCTAGGCCCGCGGGGGGTGGTGGAAGACGGTTGGGAAGGGTCTGGGAACAGAAGGGAAGGTGGTGGTTTTGACCCTTCCAGCCATCTTCCACCCTCACCCCCGCAGGCCTAGTAGGCTGAAACCGCCATCTTCCCTTCCCAGACTCTTTCCAGCCATCTTCAACCACCACCACCCCCGGGGCCTAGCAGGCCAAAATCGCCACCTTCTCTTCACTTCCATCTTCCCCCCCCCCAGGGCCCAGCAGGCCGAAATCGCCACCTTTCCCTTCCCAGACCCTTCCCAACCGTCTTCCACCACCACCCCACAGACCTAGCAGGCCAAAATTGCCAACTTCCCTTCCCTCCCCAGACCTTTCCCAGCCGTCTTCCACCACCACCCCACAGGCCTAGCAGGCTGAAAATGCCAGAATATTTTTCCTGTTTTGCTCCCCTAAAAATTAGGTGCCTCTTATGCAGACCTGTGTCTTATGAAGTGAAAAATACGGTGGCAGACTATTTGAAGGAGATACTGCAGGATTTTTGAACAGAGCATAGTGGCTATTACCACATATGCATCAGTTAGGGAAAAGCTGCAGAGGAAGGTCAGGTAAGCTGCCTGAGGTCTACAGGGGGGTGGCGATTTTGGCCTGCTAGACCCGCGGAGGTAGCGATTTTGGCCTGCTAGGCCCATGGAAGGTAGGTGGAAGACAGCTGGGAAGGGAAGGGAAGGTGGCGGTTTTGACCCTTCCCAGCCGTCTTCCACCACCACCACCACCACCACCACCACCCCGCAGGCCTAGCAGGCGGAAATTGCCAGAGTATTTTTTTCCTTTTTTTCTTCCCCTAAAAATTAGGTGCATATTATGCAGAGCTGCGTCCTTTGGAGCGAAAAATATGGTACTTCTCTGTTCCTTTTTTAATTCACTAACACATGCACTGAGGCACTCAAGTTTTTCCTTGTTTAACAAAAAAGCAGGTAGTTATCCTCTGGAGCCAAAATTTCCATTTTGTATGTTTACATGACCAAACCTAAGAGCCCTTCTTAGCACAGTTTTTTGTGTCTTGGTCAGCAAGGATTATGGAGAACACAAGATTCCTCTGTGTGTCACAGTTCTCTCGTCACTGATGATTTGGGACAAATTCTTAAAACTACTGCATCTTCCCAGAAATTCTCTCCTCAGTTTTTCCCCCGGAAACATCATCTGTTTCTCCTAAAATGCTCTTTGTGGTGCTAAGATTCTTCTCCCTAAATAAAGAAGAAAGGTTAAAATATTTAGAGAACAAAAAGGAAAATTGGCACTCCCCGTGAAATTTTCATTTTATGTAGCAGAAGAAGGACATCCTCAAGAGATGGGTTTTCCCTCCTACTCACTTCCACAGGCAGAACTGATCAGCCAATAATGTGGTGCTCGGGCCCCCTTAAAAGAGAGGTACCAACTCTGGCTGAACCAGTCTTCGTCTCCAGCCACCAGAAAAAAGGAATAATCTAAACAATACAGTTCAGACACCCTAAGAGATGGGATTTACCAAAACCTACAGTTCTAGGGTGGGGCAGAGGAGAGATTCACCTAGCCGTGAAATACTCTGGTTTCTCTTCAGATCGTATAAATCTTTCACCTTTTACCTAGCCCTGAAGGTATAAAAATCATTTGAGTTGGACTTAGGAGAGGTCCTCCACCTGCTGAAGGACTCTTCTCCTCAATGCCGCCTCAGCTGAGATAAAGCTGTTCATGCAATGACGCCTGACAAAGAGTGCACCTCTTTGTTTGCAAGAGTTTGCAAGGTGCACACAGAAAAGTGGGCACCTTGCAAACTTCCTCCAGAATGTCCCATTTTCTCATGGTGGAAGGCTGAAAGGACATAAACAAGGCATCAATATGCCTGAAATGTCTACACTCTGACTCTCTCTCTTTCTTTCTGTGTGTGCGCACGCATGCCAACCATTGTAGATTTTGAGAACATGTTGATACCCAATCATGGACCCCGTATTGATTGCATTTGGATGTTTCTACGGTTGCCGGTTTATTTAAGCAGATATTCCAGAAAATGCTGAAATAAAAACTAGTGAAAAAAGAAAGAACTCTATAGACAAGCAGACTGAGGCTGTAACTATGCAGTCAAATACTGCAGGATTTCCTCCAGTTACACAGCAGATGAATTTGATTCCTTTCTATTTATCACATGACACAAAGGCCAATTTGAATCAGTCCAGCCCTTTTTGGTCCCAACATGGGAGTCTTTTTCTCTGCTGTTGGGGGCTTCTATTTGTTTTCAAGCCAAAACAATTTGAACTGACTTTTCCCTATTTCATTAGTCGTTTTCCCCCGCAAAAGGATAGGGGTGATGTTGTGGTGACAACAGGCAGTTGGGGCAAGATGTTTAGGGACCATGGGAACATCCGCCCCTGTGATCTGTCCCCTGAGTGTCCCAATCTTTTGTTCTTTTTTGAAAAAAAACCAACCAAGTGTAGTGTTTAGTCATTCCACTGATACACTAGGACGAGATCACTCCACACAGAAAAAAATTTAAAATTCCTATGAAATAATGTTGAGATTTTTAATCTAGAAATGTATTAAATGTAATGTTGTACAGTGAATGTTAAATGGCTGATCTTGTACAGAGTGGATTCAGGTGTGTGTCAACATTAAAGACTTAATATTGTGCAGCTGGTGTACAATGATGTGACTTGATCCAAAGATGTATAAGAGACATGTGTTAAGGGGACAAGCTACCTGCTATAAGTCAGATAATTTATTCTGTATTACATATTGTATCATGTTATGCTGCCAGTTTTATGTCTGTATCTAAGATGCTATTCTCTATGTATATTTGTAAATAGACTCTGCTGAATTTTACTCTCTAAAGTGCTATAGTGTCATTGCAACTATATATTTCCTAATTGTGCTTAAATCCAAAGAATCAACAAATTCTCAACAAATAGAAACAATCCAAATGAAATACAGGATTAAAAATACAGAAGATTACACATGTTTCTGAGGTATGTGTGAATATTTCTGCGTACATTATAAAGAACTTTGCAAGGCTGCTACCTCTTCCTTAATGCTGTGCAACCCTTTAATAATCAAGCAGCATGACAACAAACAAAGGATTGGTAGAGGTAGGAATAGAGGGAGAGAGGAAGGCAGGCTGTGGCCTGAAATGAGGATTGCATCAATCTGTGGCCCATGTGATCACCAAAAGTGAACTGAACTGCAAGGTAGGCTATGAATCAAACTACAGGAAATCCAAATCACTTTGATTCAGCTTGTCAGTCTAGTCACAGCCTGAGATTTAATTTTTCTTTTCATAACGGTAGATCTAACCAGGTTCAGTACCAAAGCTAACAATTAAAACAGAATAGCACTGGTTTCTTACCATGCTCTCATCTTCTGTTCATATAGCTCCCTTTGCTTCTGCTTTCTTCCCTCATCAGAAGTTACACCAGAAAGCTTTTGCAGAACAATCTGAAACTCTCCTGCAGGGATACTGTAGGAAGATGGGAAAGAAAGCACATTTAGCAATGTGGAAATCTTAATAATTACAGCAGTTATGAACCACTAGAGCGCTAGTCTCACAGTCACTGATGCATTATCTCTGCCAGTCCCTACATCTTTCTCTTCCCCCACTAATCAAATTCCTTTTCAGATGCAGACACAACTTAACGCTTAATTCCACTGTGAATGGTAAACATGGCAGTGTTCCCCCCTTCCTGTATCACTGATTGTTTAAAATACATTAGAATGAACATTGTAGTACAATAGAAATAACATCCTAGATTTGGTAAAAGAACCCATCATTCTTTCCTCCTATTATTATAGTCTCACTAGCTGATGATTCCTTGTAGATGTATTACCATCCTTATCAAAGCAGCATTTTTCAGATATTCTTCTGCATATGTTCAGTGAATGTGGCAAAAGAAGAACCTAGGAACTTTGGTCTAGCTAGCTCAGTACTACTGACGCAGACTGGCAGCAGCTCTGCAGGATTTCAAGGAAGCAATTTTTTCCAGCCCTAATTGGAGTTGCCTGGGACTGAATTTAGGACCTTCTATATACAAAGCATGTGCACCACTGAGCAATTGCCCTTTCTTCCTGGTCTCAACAACAACAACAAACAACAACAACAACCAGGTGTGTGCAACTCTGCCAGGGTTGAGAGCCATTTTTCAGACTGTTCAGCAACTGCAGTTTCGAAGGGTTGTGGATAAAGTGGCTAATTAGCTTCTTTTTAAAAAAATACATTTAATTAATTCAAAAATAAATATTACTAATTAATGGAATTATTTATATATCTATTAAATAGTGACATTATTGATTAATTTCCTTAAATAAAATAAAATAAAATAAAAAACCTCCTCACCCAAGCATAATTAAGACATGACAAATACAAGATTTTACTTTTTCCAAAATAATGTTTCTAAATTTATAATTAATCATTGCCCCCAAATCCTACCAGCAGAATACAATTGGTATAAATCTTAGCAAAAAACTTACGGAAGTTAAGAAGTTTCCACAGGCATTTGCTACTGGATGCAAGGCTGTACAACTCAGTGAGCAACAGCAAATGCTTAATGCTAACTTCTCAATGCCAATGGTTTGTCGCTGAAATTTATGATAACTACACTGTGCTGACAGGGATAACTAAAAAGATTTTGCCCAATAAATAATATTAAATGAATTTAAAATATATATAAATAATTAAACACACACAGAGAAATTTAAAACTTTTTGGCAGGTGGGGGTCAAGGGGTTCAAAACATGGCAACATTGTCTCCTATACCACACAGAAGATGACTTTTGAGCAATTAAAAAAATTAATTGGGGGAAGTTGGAGACAGGGATGCTGGTTATATTTGGGGCCTGAAGTGCTGCATATGGCCCAAAAACTACATTTTGTTCACCCCTGCCCGGATGTCTACACTCTTACTAGCTCTAATGTTTCTCCATCCAGCATACGAATAATCTTTCCAATGAGAAAGAAAGCTTCAGGAACTCTGCTTCAGGGTGCCTTGAGGCAGTGACTCCCAATGGAGGGAGTTTTCTCCACCATTCAGCCTATTGCGAGGAAAGACACGAAGTGAAACACTGGAACCTTCTGGCCCAGTGCCCAAGAGAGCAGCAGACAGGCCACAGAAATGCCTTGGCAGAGTCAAGGAGAAGAAAGCTGAGGGTCTTTAAGTCAGATTTCTCAAACCTGCAACACTATAGCCTGCCCTAAACAATCAGTTTTCTGTTTACCCTATTGTTGGTGCATATTTAAATGTTTAGGGTCTGCATGAAGAATATGCTAAGCAACAAAGCTGTCTAAGAACAAAGGAGCAATACATCCTTCAAATTAACAAATGGACCCATCTTTGTAATCAGCATCATACTGCTATCATTTAGAAAAGTCAGTACCTCTGCCCAATTCTCCAGAAGTACAAGAGGGTAAAAAGATTTGCAAAAATATGAGTATTAAGGTGAGAAAAAATTGTAGGATGTGAGAAACATAAAGACAGGCATCCTCATCAATAAGAGAATATAGAATACGTCAGAGACAAAAGGTGAGTGGGATATTTTCTGTAAAAATTCAAAAATTTGCTGAGGTTGACATTTGGAACCTATCATGACTTGTAATCGGGCTAATTCAAATTGCTAGCACATCCGAATGTGCTTGCACACAAGAGCTGCTTACCCCAATAATGCTCCAAAAAATGTCCCTCCAGCCAAACCTCTCAACCCCAAGTGCATTCGGAACAAGGCTCCCGTACAACCTAGAAACCAAACAAAATAAAATCACACAAGCAAAGGCATTTTGCAAAAAGACTCAGAAACAATAAGTCACCTGACTGTACTGTTACAGTGGACCCTCTACTTAAGGAATTAATCCGTATTGGAATGGTGGCTGCAAGTCGAAAAGTCTGTAAGTTGAATCTCCATTGACCTACAATGCACTAAAAACCAATTAATCCCATAACCAGTGGTTTTTATTCTATTTTTATTCCATCTGGTTTTTTTTCTGGTCTGTAAGTCAATTCTCTGGCTGCAAGTCGAATCTAAATTTTGCAGCCAGAGAAGTCTGTAACTCGAAAAGTCTGTAAGTCGAGCCGTCTGTAAGTCGAGGGTCCACTGTATTTGTAATTCAGTTTAACTGACCAGAGGTGTCCACTGTGAGTGCCAACTGTTCATAAGCAACAACAATGAGTTCCAATAGCGTCAGAAAGAACCTCCTGACAGTAAAAGCTGTTTTGACTATGGAATGAATTACCTTGGAAGGAGAAGTCTCCCTCACTGCTGCTTTTTATGTAGAGATTGGATGACCGTATATCAGTGGGGCATGTCCTACTTCTGTACTCGATAACTAACCGCTGCAATGCCTTCCAGCTCTACAATCCTATGATTCTTTGAATGCATTAAGATAGCTGAGATTTAGGATTTAAAAAAGGGGATATACAGTGCGCAAAGCAGAAGTGTTCCAGCAAGATGGGGTTCTTTTCTAAAATTCTCATCATAGATGGGAAAGTAGATATAATTTGGATGCTGGCATGATAATTTTCAAAGTAGTCAACAAAGCTGGGAAAAACATTGCAATACAATGCAATACAGAATCTGTAAGAGCCTCAATTTCTGCTCCTATTTCCCAACAGAAAAACAACATGGTCTGGTAGCAGGATATGAACCACACCCTACACAACATACTTTATACTCTATTTGATGTTGTCACTCACATGGAAGTTCATTTGGGTGGCATCTACAGAATGTTAGAAATCTGGAGCAAATTCACAACAGTACACACCGACTAAGAATTTAGACCAGGAATTGAGGGTTTTTTTAAATTCTAAGATTTAATTCCTGCATGTCCAAAATACAAACTGGAACCACTTAAGAGTACTTTTCAGAAGAACAAATGGCTTCTCTCAATATAAGAAGCCAACTCAGGTAGTTAAGAAATGTGTTACTCCTTGGATAGATTTCCAATGCACATAAAACAGGCCTAGTGTACATAGACAGACAAACTACAATGTTCTTCAATACTTCTCTGCCCATCATAAAGAAATAAGCCCTGCTAAGTTCAATGGAGCCTACGCTAAGGGAAGCTGGTAAAAAGTAAAACTACTCTTAGACATTTATGAATCCTCTAACTTCATAATTCTTTAAGAATACAGTATTTCATTAAAGAACCATTAAAACGGTATAATATTAACACTATGATCATAAGCACAGGCATGTGGAAGTAGGGTTCTCTGAAATGAATAGGAAATAAACATAAATTCCAAATGTTAATTTCAAACAAGAGCAGATGTTACTGATTAACTTAATATGGAGTCAAGATCAACTAGTGAAGCTCAATGGATTAAGAAACAAGCCTCTGTAGCACTGAACCTAATCCTCTCTAATTAATACCCCATATTCACCAAAAATTGTTGTTGTTTAGTCGTTAAATGATGCTCAACGCTTTGTGACCCCATGGACCAGAGCATGGCAGGCTCTCCTGTCTTCCACTGCGTCCCAGAGTTGGGTCAAATTCATGTTGGTAGCTTTGATGACACTGTCCAATCATCTCATTCTCTGTCGTCCCCTTCTCCTCTTGCCCTCACACTTTCCCAGCATCAGGGTCTTTTCCAGGGAGTCTTCTCCTCTCATGATACGGGCAAAGTATTAGAGCCTCAGCTTTAGGATCTGTCCTTCCAGTGAGTACTCAGGGTTGATTTCCTCCAAAATAGATAGGTTTGTTCTCTTTGCAGTCCAGGGGACTCTCAAGAGTCTCCTTCAGCACCACAATTCAAAAGCATTGATTCTTTGGTGGTCAGCTTTCTTTATGGCCCAGCTCTCACTTCCATACATCACTACAGGAAAAACCATAGCTTTGACTATGCAGACCTTTGTCGGCAAGGTGATGTCTCAGCTTTTTAACATGCTGTCTAGGTTGTCATCGCTTTCCTCCCAAGAAGCAGGTGTCTTTCAATTTTGTGGCTGCTGTCGCCATCTGTAGTGATCATAGAGCCCAAGAAAGTAAAATCTGTCACTGCCTCCATATCTTCCCCTTCTATTTGCCAGGAGGTGATGGGACCAGTGGCCACGATCTTAGTTTTTTTGATGTTGAGCTTCAGACTGTTTTTTGCGCTCTCCTCTTTCACCCTCATTATGAGGTTCTTTAATTCCTCCTCACTTTCTGCCATCAGAGTGGTATCATCTGCATATCTGAGGTTGTTGATATTTCTTCTGGCAATCTTAATTCCAGTTTGGGATTCATCCAGTCCTGCCTTTCACATGTTGTATTCTGCATATAAGTTAAACAAGCAGGGAGACAATATACAGCCTTGTCGTACTCCTTTCCCAATTTTGAACCAACCAGTTGTTCCATATCCAGTTCTAACTGTTGCTTCCTGACCCACATATAGATTTCTCAGTAGATAGATAAGGTGGTCAGGCACTCCCATTTCTTTAAGAACTTGCCATCGTTTGTTGTGATCCACATAGTCAAAGGCTTTTGTGTACAGTAGTCAATGAAGTAGAAGTAGATGTTTTTCTGGAACTCTCTGGCTTTCTCCATAATCCAGCGTATGTTTGCAATTTGGTTTCTAGTTCTTTAGCCCCTCTGAAATCCAGCTTCTACTTCTGGGAGTTTTCGGTCCATATACTGCTGAAGCCTACCTTGCAGGATTTTGAGCATAACCCTGTTGGCATGTGAAATGTCACAAAAATGCCTCCAAATAAATATAGTCTTACCTCCAGCAATGGCAAAGTGGGTGACAGCATTTTTATCACGATACACAGTTAGACCAGTGTTGACTATGCTATAGGAAAGGAAGAAAAATAAAGATCAGCAAGAAAATTGATAACTGTAAAGGGTGAAGTGATATTTCTGATTACTTTAACCATGGTCTTGTCAAGTCCTCACTAGAATCATAGACATCATCTCAAACTGGGAAACATGGAAAGAGTTGTCAGCCATTTTATAAATTACTTTCCCACTTAACACAACATGGTGTACTCCCCCCCAAAAATATATGCACTTCCTAATCCATGTTTTATGTCAAAACCAGTACATGAAGCACACTGCACAAATGACACCACACTCTTCTCCCTCGTGGATACTATCAAAGCAGAAAAGGTCATGGACAAGCGAGCTCTACTGTGGATAATGGGTGTGGTAATAACAGAGGAGAGCAACTTAAATTAAATAAGAGTTTTAATTAGAATTTTACTTATGAAGATTTTTTTTAAAAAAAATCTTTAAATATTAAGAAAATATTTTGTGGCAATTCTGTACTGTATATGTTTTGGGTCGGTTTGTATTGGCTCAAATGATAAGTGACTGCAACTGTAGGATATGTGTCAGGAGTGACAGTTAAGGCAGCTGAAAAGCATGCCCGAATGTTTATGAGTAGAACTGTAACCTGATGGGTCATTACAGCTCCTGGCTGGAGAGGTTCAGTTTTGAATAGAAGAGAGGGAGAAGGACAGTCATGTAGTGTTGCTATCGTGCTACCACTCCAGAATCTAGGAGTCAGTCAGAGTTTAAGAGTTGAAACAAGAGTGGTCTGTTTGTGAAAAAGTTATGAATAAATGGGTGGTACTTTTTAGTACTTCAGTCAAAGCAAGTATCTACCTATTTATAAGGAAGCTGCTCACTGAATCTTTTTACTTCTTTTAAGTAAAACACTTTGATTTACAAACCTTATTACTTTGTAGATAGCACCCACAAGATATTATACCCACATATAGCACCATGTGCCATGATAAATAACTTCTGTAGTGTCATCAAAGTAATCAAAGCTCTTGTTTCACAAAAAAAAATTCTTATTTTTAAAAGGGCAATACCAAGTCAGCCCTTAGGTGTGCCAGAGTTACTGCAGAGGTGTAAAAGGGAACACTGGCTTTTTGCCTGGGTTGATTATAGAGATAATCCAAGAGGAGTCCCTGTTTGCAAGTTTAAACTGCAACTGCAAAATGAGTGCAGGGCTTTGGAGGTTGGGTGTCATTTGGATACACTTAGATGAGGTGTGTGAGCATTGCATATGAAATTATCATATATAAGAAACGCAAGAATAAAACACTGTAACGAAGAAGTTCCAAAAAGGAACAATCCACATGCTATGAAGATCAAGAAATTGCATATAGAATCACAGAATAAATGAGTTGGTAGGGGCATATAAGGCCATCAAGTCCAATTCCCTGATCTATACAGGAATCCAAATCAAAACAGATGTGACAGATGTTGTCCAATTTTCTCTTGAAATCTGTCATTTTTTAAACTTTACATTTTCTTCAAAGTAATCTCAAGTCTCCAGAAGGAAGTATGAGCAACCAGTGGATTCTGCACCTTTTGCTTGGTTTGTTGACTGAATGGTGGAGGATTAATTATTTTATTTACTTGTTTGTTTGTTTAAAATATTTTTACCCTGCCTTTGTCCTTAGAAAGGACTCAAGGTGGCTTACAACAATTAAAAGACAATATTTAAAAGCTAGACACAGTGAGTATACAAATGCTAAAAAAGAATTAAACTAGTATTATATTAACAACAGTCCATACTAAAAATACATTTAAGGACAACACAGCACAACAATCCATTAAAAAAATGACATTGCTGCTTTTATTGCAGTATCTGTGAACTTGAATGTTTAAACTCTGTTGAGATCAGAATCTTCATCATCAACCCTTCATGTCCAAATGCCCAGTGATAAGGCCTTACCCACCCCCCCAAGTGAAGTGTTTTCCCAGATGAGGTGCTGCCATTCTCTTTAACAGCATCCCACTCTCCATTTCTTTAATGGTGGAAAACTTTGTCACCCAAGGAAAAAAGAGAGAATATAAAGGGTGAGCTGTTTTAGGGCCACTGAACCTGGATTTGCAGCACTGATGCAGAAAGCTGCTTTTGCTCCCTGCATGATGCCGGGAGTCCATGAAGTAGGCCAGGCTGTGTGTTGGACTTAGTATGCAATTATAGGTTCAAGCAACAGAAAGCCAGGTTTAGGTTGAATATCTGGAAAAACTTCCTAACTGCTAGAGCAGTAGGACAAGGGAACCCATGACCTCTGGCATTTCTCAATGCCGGAGAAAACTGAAGAACGATCCGTCCGATTTGCTTGGATGTGGAATCCTGCACTGAGCAGGGGGTTGGATCTGATGGCCTTTAAGGCCTCTTCCAACTCCATTATTGTACCTATGATTTAGGTGCAATTCAGATATGGGAATTATTTTTCTAAAACCAAAACTTAGTAAGCTTCAGTTGACCTTGATCCATCAATTTCTCTGGAAATCGCCAAACCTTTGAGAACAAGTCATGACTTGTATATAGTGCCTCCTTTTCTACTTCCAGCAATTTCAGATCTGGATGTTGTAAGCAGTAATTGGCAAGTCTCTTATGAAAAATCTTTCCTTAAGAATCTTTAAAGACATAAGAATGCTAGAGGAGGGCTACGTGAAAGGATTATTGCACTATTTCTGAAAGAATTACCAAAATGTCTCAATACAAGGACACGACCATTATACACAGATCAGGAATCCTCATTCCTTGCAGCCTCTCTAGTAGAGATGGGGGTATATGTATTTGTATATCCAGCCACAGGTGGAAATAACGAGGTGTTACATACAGCACTGATGTTACCTGTCTGTCATGGGTTTGGAGGGAAAGTTCCATCCTATGGGGAGTGGAAGGCGGGACATCAGGAGGAGGGGCTGTACTGTATATATATGTGAAGCCTGTGTGGTGAAGTTTAGACGCTGGGATGTGACGAAGCAGCAGCTGGGAAGAAGAAGCTGGTGTGGGAGTCTGTGTGTCAGACAGGGTACTACTGTGTGTCAGTACCAACCTGATAGGTTCAGGTGTCTGTTGGTTAGCCAGAACTGATAGGTTCAGGGTCTGTGCTTCAAGTTAAGTGTTCTGTGTGAACCAAACTGTATGCATGTATGAATGAGACTAAGCCACGTTACTATATCTTATTCACCTGATTATTTTATTTTCCCTGTGTGTGTTTTAAATAAACCTTATTCTTTTATTTGTTGAAAATCCATCCCTGGTCTGTGTGACTTCTTAAAGGGAATGGTTGGTGGCAGCTTAGTGTAACGTGTGGCAGATCCCAGTAGGTCTGGGTTTGTCACACGAGGGTCCGGCCCCGTGGGGCCAGACTGTACACTTACGATTCCACCGTGGATGCAAGCTCGACAGAGCCTTCCTATTGCACCATTGTCTGCAATGGACCAGCGACCTGGCAGAGAGGCTTGTCATCCTGCCTCCTGCCAGGAGTGGCTAATCCATTGCAGACGATAGGAAGGCTCCGTCCAGCACGGTGAGTGGACAGTCACTCACCCTCATTATTTCCACCTGTGGCAGGATATTCATATTTATATACGAATATGAATACCCCCATCTCTACTCTCTAGCACAAAGAGGGTTATTTGGCTGTATTAATAAGATGCAATTTTACCAAGTTCAGATGCTGTCTTTAATGAGGATTTTAACAATGGATGATACTATTCTGAAGGGATGCTTCCGTCGAATGAAGTCCAGTTTCACCTCTGAGACGGGGATACCAGAAGTTGGATAGTCACCTTTTAAAAGTAATGCACTGTCATTACTTGTTAAAATGTTAGACAGCTATGCTTTTGTCATTACTTTGATGCAATGCAGAGTCAGGTAGGTAACTCATTATGTATTTGTTGAATCATTTTTCCCCTTTTCTACTACTTTCCACTATTTTCTTCTAGCTTATCCAGTTTCTTTATATATTAAATCTAAATCCCATTCTGGCTGAAAAGTAACTGATATGCTCTGATATTTCAGACCTAATGCACATAAACAGTGGTGCTATTCAAGAACTGCCTTCTACCTGAAATATATATGGAGCAGTGGACAGCATCTGCTTTGCAAAGCTAACAGCAAACACACTTACTTGAATGTTCCCACAAAAGCAGCAACTCTCCAGCCCCATCGCCACCCATAACGGACGAAGCCCCTAATTCCTGCACGATGTGCAGATTGCTGCAGAGAAGATGGAAAGACAGAATCGTACCATCAAGTTACAACTGGAATTTTTATTATGTTCAGATTCACATTCTCACACTAACAGGCAAAGCAGGCCTGTTAGTACAAATCCGAAATAGAGGTACATATTTTGCCCAAAAGCTGAAGGTAGAAATCTTAAACAAGCCCCAAACTTTCTTTTACAGACATGTTTGTTTTACAAAAGTAATAAATGTATACAGTATCTCTCCTGTGTTTTTATTGACATGGACTAGATTACAGAAAACAATCCAGTCTGAGGTTGTCAAAGTTAAAGACTAGATCATTCAAGTAGGTATATAACTCTCCCTTTCATTATTTTTTTCAGTCATTGTCCTAGAGGTAAGTATGTGAAATGTGGTGATTCTTCCCACGCACTGGACCCTCGACTTACAGACGGCTCCACTTACAGACTTTTCGAGTTACAGATTTCTCTGGCTGCAAGATTTAGGTTCGATTTACAGCCGGAGAATCGACCTACAGTCCGGGGAAAAAACCCCAAAATGGAACAAAAACAGCCAGTTACTGATTAATCGGTTTTCAATGCATTGTAGGTCAATGGAGCCCCAACCTACAGACCTTTCAACCTGCAGCCACCGTTCCAAAATGTTTTAATTCCGTAAGTCGAGGGTCCACTGTATTAAGCAAGCTAATTCTCAACTAAAGGAGGGGCTTATAAATTACATAGAATATAGAAGCAATACATTTGCTCTAGCTTTCACATCAGCTATTTGTCCTTACCACAGCATCCAGCTGATTATAGAAAACTTTTCCATCACTCCTTTCAATGTACTGTTTCTTGGCAGAAATAAAAGCAGGCATTCCTCCATAGAACAAACCAATGAAACCTGCTGCAACCGCTGTTTTGATTATATTAAGTGTTTCTTCTGGGTATCGATTTACTTCACTGTCAAAAAAGGAGGAGGAAGAGGAGGAGGAGAGAAAAAAGAAAAGAAAATTCAGACTGAGAACTGTCCAGTGTTGAGTCTGGAGTAGTCCTTATCCTCAACAACATAATATCAGAATTAAATGAAGTGACATTATCATCAATAGGGAAGAATGCAAGTTACATCACATGAATTCAGCATACAAAAGCAGCAGGACTGTGCTTTTAGCCACCGTTTTAGTTCACCGGAAAAACACCACCTATGGGAAAATATGGCTAGGTTCAAAATCAACGCTGCACCTTGCGAGGGCCAGGTTCAAATACAATGCTATGCCTTGTGTTATCCTTAAGCCAACAAATCTCAGGTTGCCAGCTTGCTACTCCAACATATCTTCCCTGGAAACCCATGAAAACAATGAAAAACGGGATGGATCCACAACTGAAGTGAAAAAATGCACTGACACTGCCAAACAATCAAATTATGCTGGGGAAGCAAGTCGCTCCGTTAACCTGGGACAACAGCAAAGAGTTATTTTAAATATTAACAAGTTTTATTGAACATAAGAAAGCCATGCCCGTAAAACAACTCTGTGTTTGAGGGACTCTCTTTATAAGTATTCAGATTTTCTCTTTCCATTAAATAAGAGGCCGAGCGCCTCTGCAAAGAACCTGTAAGATCAGAGCACTTAAATATATAAAGCGTCAGAAGTCTTTCATTAAAGTCTTCATGTTATATAGTCTGAATACCATGTCATAGGCATATTTATCATTGCAAAACAACACATTCCACATTCCGTTTTCTTTTTCAGTAATAAAAAAACGGCTTTGGGAAAAAAAACTGGGGGAAAATCTGGTGGTTTTTTTTCAAATCCAATTTTCCGGTTTTTCTCCAGTCCTTCCCATCTCTAGATAACCCTACTCCGCAAGCATCTGCACCCTGGCGTGGAAGAACGACTTCCGAGCAGCACACCGTGCAAACTCCTCGATGCCACCCAGCCGGTCTCCAGGCTGCCCTTCCTGCCCTCCCTCCCCCCCCTTACTTTGGGCGCACGAGCGCTCGGAGTCGTTCCCAGCCCGAAGTCGGCGGCGGTGGCGGCAGCCCGAACAACTCCTGCGCCAAGCCTCGTTGCTCCGGGGCCAGCGCGGAGGACGGAGCGGCGCCGCCATCCGCCAAAGCCGCCCGGGGCATCTCTTCCGCCCGGCTCCTCTCGTGGAACCAGAGCGGTAAAGTTCGGCTCTTCGTGCGGGAGATGTAACACCCCTCCCTTTGCTCGACTGAGCCTCACGGGAAGTTGGCGAAAGAGAAGTGCGCCGCCCTCCCGGCGTGGAGGACATATCGCATGGTAATATTTCTCTTTTTCAGAGGGAGACTATTCGTGGTGGGCATCAGCCGCGAATACTGGCAACAAAGCTTTTGTTGAAAGGGGTTAATGCCCGGCGGGGAAGGAGTTGCGTATTTGCAACTTGCTTCCTAAAAATGCGTAGGAAAAGAGGACGCTGCACCTTCTGTGTACTTTGGATTCTCCCCCCACCCCCGGCTTTAGGAGGACGGGGCGACCTCGTTTATCTAATCCTGAAACCCCTTGGCTCTAAATTAAAGAAGCGTCAGCGTAAGAGAAAGCTTGCTTGGTTTTGCTGCGTAGTTGGTTTGCTTGCATTTTCAGAAATAGAGACACACATTTCCTACCTAGCAGGGATTGACTGAGTTTGCATTTCCCAACCTGAGACAGCCCGAGAACAGACTACATGGTTACAACTCCTCTCTTAATTTGGGTTTTTCCTCCTTCCCTTCTCGCCTGGCTTGTTTGATTTGGTTTTTGGTACCACTTCAGATTGATGAATAATTCTGGAGAATGTAAAAGTTTGCACACTTTTGCAGCAGTTTGGTTGATCCTAAGAAAGCCCACCTGTGGCCCCCCACTTTTATCAGCACAGCTTTCACTTTATCTTTTTAACAATTTTTTCAGGTTTTTGTTGTTTAATCTGAGCCACCAAATAAAACAGAATTGTAAAGTGAGCAGGCTTATTGTCTCTTTTCTGGCCCAGGTGACTTCCAGTCCCCCTTAAGCAGACTGATCTTCCATATAAAAACCTTGTAGACTTTTCTCTGGAATACATGTCAAGCACATAGGGAGCTTTCTTCATATACATTACTGAGGATGGAGCTAAACTAATGAGAATCTGAGAAAGTACATTGCCCAAGTGCTAGGAAGAACTAAAGGCAGGCTGCTTTTTCCAACCAAGTAAGACCTGAGTAATTTGCACTTCTGTATCCAAGATTCAACTGTGTAATTTATGTAAGACTTTCTTTATACAGTATTGCCATAAGGGGGGAGTGTGTACAGACAGCCATCCCTTTAGAGCTCAAAATTATTACACTATCTTAGTATTTCTTCCAAAGTTCTTACAAGACAGGAGGCAGGACACTGGTGCGGGTGGGGGCTGACCAAACACACATTATGAAGCAAAACCTTATTTTCTCCTCTTACAGCATTATCCCTCCAAACTTGTGTCCTGTGCCATCAAGTTGCAACCGACTTATAACAATCCTAAGACTTTCAAGGTAAGTGCAATGTTTAAGGAGTTGTTTTACCAGCTCCACTCCCCCACTGAATTCTCATGGCTGCGTGGAGATTCAAGCCCTGTTCATCAGAGTCCTAGTCCATTGCTGTGTCCATTACACCACACTGTGAATATCAAAGATATGTACCTTAGATATGAGAGATATAAGCAAAACCATGCTTTTTCCTGGTTGACAAAATAATTTGCCAAATGTGCATGAAAGCAAACTCATTTGGAATAAACAGACAGGCCAGAATCCTTTAGCAAAAATCAGCACATGTAAGGGCAATTGTGCAAGTAAGTTTCAGTTTGCTAGCTATCACAACTGATTGCTTAATGAGGGCACAAATTTATGACAGACAGCAATATGGCTTCTACCATTTGTGCAACTGCATTTACACTCCATGAGCCCAACAGGATTCTGGCCATACACACACACACACACACACATATACACACACATATATATACATACACATACATACACATATATACACATACATATACATATACATACATATATATATACATATATATACATAACACATACACACACACGCACACGCACAACACACACATACTGTATATACATACATATATACACATATACATACACATACACACACACGCACACGCACACACACACATACATACATATATAGACACACACACAAACATCTTCTGGTTCCTATTCAGGAAATCGAACCCAAGTTCTTTCAAGTTTAGTGTGTTTAATTAGTTTAATGAACATTATGAGACAAAGTCATCCCTTTATATGTTCTTATCCTTAGAGGAATGAGGGAAGCATTTTATGATTTAAGATGGTGCCCAAAATGTAGCCCAGGGATTATGTGCAGCCCTTCATGGTCTGTCTTGCAGTCCCCTGAGATTAGGCATCCTTCAGTATTGAGAGACCCTGGTAACATGCTCTGAACAGAGGTCTTGGAATAGCATCTAGTGCAGGGGTGGGCAATTCATTTCTATAGGGGGGCCACATGAAAAATCTGAACCATGTTTGGGGGCCAAACCAACTTTACTTAAAAATAAAATGAAACAGTGATGTTATGGTTGTTTTTATTTTAAACTTATTAATCTTCACAAATCCTAAAGAGGTTTTTTGCGGTTTGTTAAAGATAAGCAACTGATCAACTTTAGACAAAAAGCTATAAATGGTTTTGATGTTGAAAACATACGGGACGGACAGGAGCGGCTTCCGGGCCGTATGTGGCCCTCGGGCCACACTTTGCCCAGGTCTGGTCTAGTGTGTTCATTCCTTCGGTGGAAGCTAGAGATATTGCACCCCTATAGCCCCTCCCTCTTTGTTGCCTGTAGGTTAGATTTATGAAGAGCTGAGGATTCACCTGCAGCAGATACACATACCTATCCGGTATGGAGATCCTCTGTTGTATAGGAGATTGGAGGACACGATTATTAGTAGAGAGGCAACAGGTGGAAAAGTGAAGCATAGATTTCATTTTTTGCTCCATAAGACACACTTTTCCTCCCCCAAATAGTGGGGGAGAAAGTATGTGCATTTTATGGAGCAAATACAGTAAAAAAAGGGGGGGGTCAGCCACCACCACCCACAAGCCTCCCACTGCCATTGGCACCAGAGGCTGTTTGCTGTGGCAGCCACATTGGACTTCACCACTCTGCCATCTGGCTTTCTAGGATCTGCCTCCTAGAAAACTAGTATATGGCAGCAAATTTAAATGGCAGAGATGAATGAAAACAGCCAAGGACCAAAAGGGAAAGATGATTTTAAAAAGAACAGGAGAAACCACAAATGCAGTCCCCCACTACCACAAATTAGGCAGCTGATTTTCCCACATTTGGGGAAATCACGGGGATCAGCACATCCAAAGTGCAATAGATGAACCTTACCCCCCGGCTTGTCCCCCGGCTTATTTAACATATGCAGAATACATCATGCGGAAGGCTGGATTGGAGGAATCCCAAGCCGGAATTAAGATTGCCAGAAGAAATATCAACAACCTCTGATATGCAGATGATACCACTCTGATGGCAGAAAGTGAGGAGGAATTAAAGAACCTTGTAATGAGGGTGAAACAGGAGAGTGCAAAAAACGGCCTGATACTCAACATCAAAAAAACTAAGATCATGGCCACTGGTCCCATCACCTCCTGGGAAATTGAAGGGGAAGATATGGAGGCACTGACAGAGTTTACTTTCTTGGGCTCCCTGATCACTGCAGATGGAGACAGCAGCCACTAAATTAAAAGATGCCTGCTTCTTGGGAGGAAAGCGATGACAAACCTTGACAGCATCCTAAAAAGCAGAGACATCACCTTGCTAACAAAAGTCTGCATAGTCAAAGCTATGGTTTTTCTTGTCGTGATGTATGGAAGTGAGAGCCGGACCATAAAGAAAGCAGACTGCCGAAGAATTGATGCCTTTGAATTGTGGTGCTGGAGGAGGCTCTTGAGAGTCCCCTGGACTGCAAGGAGAACAAACCTATCAATTCTAAAGGAAATCAACCCTGAGTGCTCACTGGAATGACAGATCCTGAAGCTGAGGCTCCAGTACTTTGGCCATCTCATGAGAAGAGAAGACTCCTTGGAAAAGACCTTGATGTTAGGAAAGTGTGACTACAAGAGAAGGGGACGACAGAGGATGAGATGGCTGGACAGTGTCTGCGAAGCAACCAACATGAAATTGACACAACTATGGGAAGCAGTGGAAGATAGGAGGGCCTGGCGTGTTCTGGTCCATGGGGTCACGAAGAATCGGACATGACTAAACAACTAAATGAACCGAACAAACCCTGGGAAAACCACTTTTACAATAATGGTATCTCCCCTGCCAGATATGAGTTGGAATGGCCCCTGCAACTCCTGCCTCTTTCTGTGCCCTGTCCCCCAAAGGCATGGTGACCCCCGGCTGCACCTCCTGATCAGAACAGAGCTGCACAGCCCCAGTCCCACCAGAGGCCAAGAGAGCTCCTCAGTCTCTGCAAACACACGCACACTAACCGTTGGGGTGAAAGAGCTACAAAGAAGCTCTTAGCCAACCAACAGTTAGCCCTCTAATTTGAATTCCCTGCCTTTTTTCCCCTGCCTCTTTTATGTTTGCAACTCGAAGCTCTGGCCGCAAGTCGAAGCAAAATTTTGCAGCCAGAGCTGGTCGCAACCCGAAATGGTTGTATGTCAGGACGTTCGTAAGTCGAGGCACCACTGTAATTTGCTGTTTGTTAAACTATCAAACTGCAATAATTACATCTACAGCCCAGAAAAGAAAACAGTTCTTTTAATTTATTCCCATTTACCTCAGTCACCTTCCTCAAGCAAATATTTGTGACAAATACAAAGGGCAAGTAGCACACAATAGGTTATATAGGGCAAAACATTTGCTAACTGTTCTGGTCCTTTATTGATGCAATGGGGAAAATGCTTCCATTTAGGGATTAATTCAGCTAACAATTAATGGGGATCTTTTTTAAAAAAAGATCCACATATAAAGACAACAATGTTGTAGACTACACCAGATAAATTCTTTTCACTGGAGAGAAATTCGGCTTCTACATAAAGTACTTGCCTGCTTGTTGTCTCCCCCACCCATCCCCATTATTGTGGGAAAATAAAACTTCCCACACATTATTGCCTCCACAACACAACCACTTCATTTTCTTGTTCAACTCTTTTACAAACTGGATCACTTACTCTTTCTTATCCAGTATACAGGAATTTGTCTAGCTATCAAGCCATGTTAGTTTTCCTCACTTCGAAACTCACTGTGAGGAAAAGAATCAGTCTTGGCAAGAGGAATCAGGGCTTGAGGGAGACCATACATTCCAGCACATGTAGGGGTGGGGAACAGATTTTCCTTCAGTTGTTGTTAGACTTCAAATCCCATCAGCCCCAGCCAGAAAATCAAGTGATGACAGAGGATAAGATGTGTCTGATCATATCTTGACAGCTTCAAATTCTCCATTCCTGATGTATATTCTGTCCAGTCAATCAGGAAACAGTACACACCATCCAAGTGAGGACTTAATGGAAGAATAGTTGATTAACTCAAAATAAAACAGAATATGATATCCAAAATAATGAGACCAAAAAATTCAGTCAATCAGGAAATAGTACACACCACCCAAGTGAGGACTTAATGGAAGAACAGTTGATTAACTCAAAATAAAACAGAATGATATCCAAAATAATGAGACCAAAAAATTAAGGCTGAATTCAGCTGCACTTGGAGGTGTGAAGGGCTGGTACATAAATACGGCTAACCTCTACCAGCCTCTTTAACCACCTTCCATAGCTACCATTTCTGTGAGGCAACCCGTTGTTGTGGAATAATATAACAACATTCTTTGCTGGATTACCTTTTGCTCCATGGTATGACAAACATTCCATGTGTCACAAAATGGTGGAAGAGAGAGGCCAAAGGCTGACACAGGCGCTCTACCTGGCTTTTTCCCTTTCTGCTTTTAGTACCAATTTTAGGGAAGCAATGTAAAATGAGTTCAGCACTCTCCCAATTGTTGCTTCTTCACTCTTTCAAGCCGAAGAGGAGCAGCTGTAGCCCTCTAGACCAGGGGTGTCCAACCTTTCACCTTCCCTGGGCCACATTAGAAGATGAAAATTTGGTTTGGGCCGCTTGAGGGGGGCAGCCCTAGCCGTCCTCCGCAGCCCCGCTCCAAGTGCGCTTACTGGCAGCTGCAATCTTAGACAGCAGAGGCTGCCAGCTTCGACTCTGGCAGCTTTATGGGGCCAGGAGGGGGTCCACCTATTGACGGGGGCAGTACAATACAGTCACGCAGCCCCCCTGTCCCTCCCCTCCCCCTCCTTCCTTCATTCCCTCTCTCCCCCTCTACTGTTGTGACATGCCCCGGCAGTGTAACTTGAAACTTTGGAATTTCTTTAAAAATAAAAAAATTGCACTGGCCCCATTACGAGCTGACCTTGGCCGCATGCGGGCCTCGGGCCACGGGTTGGACAAGCCTGCTCTAGACGATGGTGGACTGGAACTCCCCGAGCCTTCATGATCAGATAAGCTGGCCAAAACTGCTGGAAAGTGCACAACAAAAACATCCGGAAAGGCTCATATGCCCACCTATGCCCTAAATGGACCATTTAGACCTGCTAATTCAAATGAAAGAAAAGGAGGCAAAATCAGCCTTCCATGGGATGGCTACTATCTCTAAAGACCACAAAAGAGCTCGTTTCCTCACTCAGGCATAAACCTCAGTATGGCTGCAATCCTATATGCATTCTTGTGGGGATAAATCCCACTAAATTCAATGGAGCTCACTTCCAAGCAGACATGTACTGGATCGCACTGTAAATAAAAAATAAATAACTGTGTTAGGCTAGTCATCAGCTCTCAGCCTAATCTCCTAGGGCTGGTGTGGGAGTCAAGCAGAAAAACATCAATATATAGTGTCATCCTGAACTGTTCTGGAGAAACACAAGACAGAACTGTAATGACCTACATACAGTGGTGCCCCGGATGGAAAAAAATCCCCATTGGAATGCATTGAAAACCGGAGCCTCGTGGCGCAGTGGTTAAAACGCTGTACTGCAGCTAAAACTGTGCTCACGACCTGGGGTTCAAATCCCAGGTAGCCGGCTCAAGGTTGACTCAGCCTTCCATCCTTCCGAGGTCGGTAAAATGAGTACCCAATGTCATCCTGAACTGTTCTGGAGAAGCACAAGATAGAACCGTAATGACCTACATACAGTGGTGCCCCGCATGGGAAAAAAATCCCCATTGGAATGCATTGATGTCCGGTGAAGATCGCCCATAGAGAACCGCCAATCAGCTGTTTTAAATCGCTGTCTTGTGAAGCTTCCGTCCCATTTTGCAAAGGGAAGCCAGCCATTTTGCAAAGGGAAGCCATTTTGCGGAGCTGGAAAAATCGTCGTTTTGCGAACAAATGGTTATACGGTTCATGAAGTAAGGACCTAATCATCGTAAAGCGGATTTCCCCCATAGGAACCATCGTTTTGCAATCGCTATAGCGATTGCAAAAATGTCATCGTACTGCGGTTTCGTCATATTGCAGGGCACCACTGTACTACCCAGTTTTCAATATAGGTTTTTCAGCCTAAGAATTTGCTGGGACAAACAACATGAAAAAGCTGTTGCCCTTGTATCCCACCTATAAACTTCTCAGAAACATCTAGCTAGTTTCTCTCAGAATACCATACTACAGAGGACCTTAGGTCTAATGCAGATCTTAGAAAACTTTGCTTTTTAGTTTACAGTTCAAAGAATACATCACCCAAAGCAGCATGAAAATGGAGCCAGTTATCTCAGGTGATGAGCACTCCAAAACTAGGGAATTCAAGAGAAAGCTAGATAGCCATCTGTCAGATATACTGTAACTTGGATTCCTGCATTAAGCAGGGGACTGGCCTTAATGGCCTTATAGATCATTTCCAACCCCATTATTCTGTAATTTTGTGGTCAGGGGCCACTCTAGCTGGGAAATTCTGGGAGTTGTAGTCCAACATATAGTGTTACCGAACTCTATGCCTCTCCTACTCAGCACGTGATTAAATACTGTGCAAATACAATTTAGGGATGATTCATTTACAATTCCACCAAAATGGCCCATTCAATGGGATTAATCTGATGTCAATCAATTCAATATGCAGGAACACAGGTCCCCTATTCAAAAGAACTGAGGGTACAGAACTAATAGAGTGTCAGTAGTAATGTAATACCAGATGTCAGTGGAACTTAAGATCCCCTCTTATTCAAATACTTTTTTTGTTTTGTTTTTGTTACAGACCATGAACATTCTGGAGCTGATGAAATAGTTCAGTACAGCAAATTACAGTTCTCCTTCCACCGTGTCTTATAGTCTGGCACCATAAAACACTTGAGTGTCCACAAGAAGCAGGGGAAACCCACCCAATACTGTTCTTTGGATGTCATAATATCCACCGCTACTGGTCTTGAACTGTGAACATAACGAATCCTACTGGTGTTTTTCACAGAACTGGGATGTTTACAGTTCTGTTTTCAAGCGTCTGGGAGAAATTTCATTGTAACTACTTTTCCGTTTTACTTTGTAAATCAGAGCTTTGGAGTACTCAGTCAAAAGTCTCTGCCAGTAACAAGATATATCCTCCATCTGCAAGTGCTCCATGATGAACTGGCGACCCCTAGAGGCAAGACGGACAAAGAAACACAGATAACTAACTCAAAGTCTAACTCAAGAGCTTAATTACATATCTATGCAACTGATGAAGAAGAAAAATAATGCTTGAGCATCAGTGAATGTTTCCAAGGAAGTGTCATTCTGTGGGAAGAGGGAGGGACTAGGAATGTTGAACTGAAGATTCTGTATAATTCATAGTGCAACAAGAGGCATTTGCTGTTATGCATATTTATATCTGTGCCTTCATATTCTATCACTCAAAGTACAGATGTGTATGTCTGTAAAAATGAAATACTTGCCTTAGGGTACACATTCAGTGCTCTGAGAATTGCTGTGTGGTATGTGAGCATGGGTACCGATTGCCTACTTTCAGTAAAATGACTAACCATCAGCTGAATAATGTCCCCTGTTCAAAAGTGATTTCCTTTTAAACTGAGGGCAGTGCCAACTCCAAAAAGGTTCGGTCATGTCACAACAGTAAAGAAGGCCTCTTTATCTCCCCATGTCACATCCCACCACAGAGCCAGCATGTTACAGTGGATACAGTGTTGGAGTAGGATTCAGGATACCTGGGTTAAAATCCCCACTTAGCCATGGAAACTCAGTGTGGGTGGCAGTCATACACCATTCCTTGACCACTTAATAGACCTCAAAAACCCATTAGCATAGTCAGAAGTGGCATGTAACAGCAATATGGTTGTTATCAGCTCCTCTGTAGGAAACAAAGATTCCTCCCAGCAGAGTGTAATGATTGGAGCATGTGTATGTGTATATGTTGATAGCTAAATATGGGCAAACTACCCAGAAACTGAAAATAAACACAAGCCTCTTAACTCAGACCATAGACATACAGTGGTGCATCGCAAGACAGGCACTCTGTTTAATGACGACCAGACCATAGATATACAGTGGTGCCTCGCAAGACGGGCGCTCCGTTTAACGACGGTTTATGAGGTTTTTGCGATAGCAAAACTTTTTGAATGGTGGAATTATGCTGCGCGATGATCGGTTCCCTGTTTCAGGAACCGATTTTCGCTTCCCGACGATAAAAACAGCTGATTGTCGGGATTTTTAAATGGCCACCGGGTGCTCAAAATGGCTCCCCGCTGTGTTTAGGAGCCATTTTTTGCTGCACAGGCCCCCAAAAATGGCCGCCCCTATGGAGGATCTTCGCTGGACGGTGAGTTCTTAGCTGATTGGAACGCATTAACCAGGTTTTAGTGCGTTTCAATGGCTTTTTTATTTTTGCTTTACGACGTTTTCGTTCTACAGCGATTTCACTGGAACGAATTAACATCGTAATGCAAAGCACCACTGTATTAGCAGCATACTAAGTTATGATGAATGAGGGATAATTTAGCAGAATCTGTGTACGAATCTGAATTAACTGAATTCCTGGCGTGTGATACTCGGGACAGAATGGATATAAACAGAAAAATTTAAGTCATCCATCCATCCATTCCATCAATTCCCTCCCTCCCTCATCCCTCCCTCCCTCTATTCTTCAACTTTTAACTATTTTCCAAAATGCTGACATACCTATTTATTCTCAGGGCAATTTTATGGTTGTGCCCCCTTTCCCCGTTTAAGAACCTAGTAACACTCTTGTAATTACAAACACAACACTCACCTCTCTGAAATGTCTTGGGCTATGTCATCATTTTCTTTTACAAATTCCAAAAGCTCCCTGTAACAAAGTTAGTAAGTTACCCCAGTGTGCATGAACTACAGTTAGTGATTTCCTATCAGGCTTTTGAGGCTACAAGGAGACTGTAAAAATGAGACCAAACTAATAGAGGCATGTCTATTTAATAAAGCCCAACATTTTTCACTGGAGTGTATTTTGAAGGAAATATTTTTAGTATTGTATAGGTCATTGTTTCAGGCAGAGGAAGCCACCTCATAGGTGTGCTTTCCCTATCAGTATAGCCAAGTCCTGTATCAAGGTAGAAAGACAGAGCACCACAGAAAAAAAAAATCTTATACTCTGTCCAAACATTGGGCCATGTAGCACAGTACTCTCAAATCTAACTCACAGCAGTTCCCCAGTGTTCTATGCAGGATTCTTTTGTAGTGTTATCTGGAGATTCTTGATGGTTTGATGTTCAACATTTGCCAGGTCAAGTATTGTTTTGCTTCCAAGATCAAATATGTTTATGGAGGTACAGTATGATAGTATGTGATTATACTGACCTTACTGCATTAACACTAGCAAACCCTGCTTACAAGGCAACCTGTACATGCCATAAACTAATAAGCATACAAACACTTAAATATGGTTTGTGAAATGACTGGTGTATCCTTCTTACCTCACATCAGACAGATCAGATTTGACTGGGATGTAGTGAACCCAAGGCTTCAGTTGCGTGTAGAAGAATTCCTGCCAGTCTTCCCCAACGTGAAAAACCAGTGAGCCACAGAGAAAGAGGTGTTTAAGGCGGAAACTGGCTGCTACACCTCGGAAGTTGAAAAGGTACCTGTATAACAATTATGATCAATACACTGTTTTAGAAAATTGCTTCTTCTCCACTGATTAGCATATCTGAATCATCATCCTAGAAACAAACTGATGGAATCATACATTCATTTTATTCTGTGATTTTTAATTTGTTATACCACTCTCTTGAAGTGTAGTTTACTTGTTTGTATTTAGTAAACGTCTGTATGCTTTTTAAAGATCACAAATACCATGACAATAGTTCAAATAAAATCATCAAAACAGAGGAAAGGTGTTACTTTTATTCCACAACATGCATTTGGTTCACAGAAGAATATGGGGGGGGGATAGATATTCCCTCTGAACCCTGTTACAGAATAGCCAAAAAGCAAAAAACACAACAAACAAACAAGAAAACTAGAGGTTCAGCAGGCTCGCTTGTTGCATTTATGACAGGCTTTCACTGGCTTTAAATAAAGAAACCCTTGTTCCTGATGAGTCCATATAAATATGTCACTATAGCAGAAAGTTATATTTATATCAATCTGAGATGTGCTTCAGATAAAAATTATACCAATACCTGAGTATGCGCAATGATAGGATTGGGTGCTCTTGTAAAAGGAAGGAAAGCTACAAGACGCACCATTTAATGCAAATAAGGCACAGTCACTCTATTTAGAAAGAACTTTCCAGTCAGAGGTTCTCTAAATTCAATTCCAGGCTACTGGTTGCTTTTCGCAAGAGATCCCAGGGAAGTCATTAAATGTACTAGCATCTCAGCTTCGTCACTGCCTACATATGGCACTGAAATCTCTTACGGAGATCTCTAGGGGACCTGAGATGACAGAGCGCCTTGGATTCACTGCACCGGAGGAACTATAGATGTCCAAGGGAATATAATCATATCACTGAGTGGTGCACAGGGGATATAGTGGTTCTTTGGGATTTCTCAAATACTCTTCCTGAATTACAACAACTAATAGAGCTGTAAACCACAGAACTTTGTAAGGAGTGGAGTTGCTAAATAACTCCACTCCGCAATAGATATGGTGGTGGAAATATTTAGAAACTGAGAGCTGCACAACAACCACATAATGGCAGAAATCCATTGCACAGTAACGTAAAAGGCATAACATTTGAGAACAAACTTGTAAGTTAAGAAATAATCTGTTGCATGTCAGGTTGCACCACATGGTGTGCAACAGGAACCACACCCCTTTTGTGACTTTTGAAAAAGCATCATGTCTCCCAACAGCTCCCATAGCACGGTCCAACCCCCTTTTAATAATAAAAAAATCAATTCATAACTTATAATTTAAAATAAACAAAAAACTCAATTAAAAAATTAAATGAAAAATAAGTAGAAAAATATTTTTTCGTTCCAAAGAATATTAATAAATATTTCATTTACTGGTTGTTGTGGGTTTTTCAGGCTCTGAAAAATACAGTGTGCAAAAGGTCAGTGACCTCTACCCATCCATAAGGACCGGGGTAACTACACACAAAAGACCAGTTAATGACACCCATCAATCACAGTGACAGATAATCTCTTCTCCTCATCACAAAAATACACCTACAACAAGACACACTAATCACCCTTCTCCTGATTAGGACAAAAGCCTATCTCACAGCCATAAATACTCCACTCCCAAGCAAACTACACCAGAGCACAGAGTGGTGTCCTCTGAAGATGCCGGCCACAGAGACTGGCGAAACGTTAGGAAGAACAACCTTCAGAACACAGCCAAAGAGCCCAAAAAACCCACAACAACCATTATATCTCGGGCGTGAAAGCCTTCGCGAATACATATTTCATTTACCTTATGGAATAGCAGAAACAAAAGGAATCCAACATGATTTATTATATCTCATAGTCTCATGCCTTGCTTGGAATGTCATCATACATCTTTGGAAGGGTATTGCCCATCCCCCAATCCCAGTGCAGGAGACAATGCCACTGATTCTACGTAACTGGCACAATCCTATTGCATATCTAGTCAAAAATCAAGTCCTAGCAAGTTAATGAAGCTAACTTAACTTAGATATTTATATGAAGTATTACTGTCCAAAATTGTTACTTACTTGTATTTACAATGGTCTACCAGTGGAACCTCCTTAGCTGGTGGTTTCCCAAGTGTGTCCTTTGGGGAGAAAATGTGTACTTTAAACTTTTGCTAGTAATCTTCCTCCTCCTGACCCAAATCAATGTGATAACATAAATAAAAGTATGTGCTACTTTTTGTTCTCCATACTGATTTTCAGTAGAACACAAGACCAAAGTTTATTTGAAGGGAAATCTAAATAAACTTTGGAAACAACTCCAAGCACCATCTCCCTGGCACAGTCAATATGGTTAAGTCTAGACTGGACCCTCTTGCCTGAAATCTGAGACTCCCACTGAAGTATTATTTTCATGCAAATTGCAATAGGAAGAGCAAATCTCTCTATCGTAATATTTGCCTCCTAATCTAGGCTGCATGCGTGAAGATAACTTTTGTAAAGAAAAAAGCACTGTCATAGTTGCATGCTATATATTTAAGATAATAGCAGAACCTTAAACATGTACTTAAAGTAAAATCAAATCCTGAAAAAGTTCCCTTTTATAACTCCCATAAATCCTTTGGCCACCAGGAAAAGCTCTCGGGAAGAAGTGTTCTTCCAGAAAAGTAAAAGAATTGGCTTTAAGAGTAGTTACTTTTTCAGATTTCCAGGCTTGGTTTTTAGTGTACTCTGCATCAACAAGGTCTGGGTTTTCTCGAGAAAGAAGGATGAGTGGATCCCGTTCTGAACTTGTCCTAGCAGGAAAAGCACACATCAACCTGTTAGAGAACTTCCTGTTACCTCAAGGTTCACATAAGCAGACAAAAAGACAGGGGGGAAAAAACACCAGGTAAAAAAACTGATGGAGTATCTACAGCCCAGCAGCTGAAGTCTCACTGGATCTTGCCCAGGTCTTAGACTGCAAAAAAAGCAAACTGAGATAGACAAGAGTCCACTTGGATTAGGATCCTGCTGATACGACAGAAAGGCCCACAGCACATCAAATACTGATTTCTAATTACAGATAATATTTAGTTATTTAGTTAGCGATAAACATATTCACTTGCAGTAACCAGATCTCTGATTGGTGCTCCAGTTTTGTTAAAATCATGGCCACTGTAGTGTTAATCATCAGCAGCACTGAAATATCTGGAAATGGAAGCTGCTCACCTGGACCCTCGGAAATAGGCTTTTGAAATTTTCTTCTTCCAAGGCCATTTTTCTGCAGAACTAAAGATATTTTTATCAATACATAATATTAAAACCCCAATGCAGGAAATTTAAGCACCAGAAGTTCAGAAATAAAAGGTAAGCCAAACATTATTTTTTTGTTTTGTTTTATTCAATATTTTATCTGCTGAATCTGTCTGTTTTTATCATAGCATTATTGCATTTTATTATATATTTCATTAGTAGTTGCTGGTGATCCAAGTCATATATAAGCAGCGGATGGGTGAGATATAAATTTTATATGTGCAAGTAATACACACACACACACACACATTTGTATTTCTCAGAATCTCTCCTGACTATCATTCATTCATTCAATTTGTATCCTACTCCCATTAGTGTCACAGCACTACTCTGGGTGGGTTACAACTCGTAAAATAGAAAACAAAAATAAAAATATTAAAACCACACAAACAGAGGGCACTGACTAACCCCAGAGCGGACAGAGGAAAAGAGGGGAGGGAAGAGGAGGGAAAAGAAAAAAGGGGGGAAGGTGGTCAGCAGGGATCAGTGTGGAAAGCCTCCCTGAAAAGCAATGTCTTTAATTGCTTCCTAAAAGTGTATGTAAGTGGCAAAAACTTGAATTAGATTATCTCAACCTAATTGCATGCAGGTCTCAGCCTAATTTCATATTGATTTAAAAGCCATCTGCAGGTGATCCATTCAAATCTCTAGCATGAGTAGTCTCGCCCTTCCTCAACTTGGTGGGGAGGCAAGGAGAGGGGAAGAAAGTACTCAAGTGAATGTGCAGCGGCAAAAGCAGAGAAGAGTAAATGTGAGAAAGAGACAAAAGGGGTAACTCTGCTCACAACCATGCAACACTCACCAACTGCTCCCAAAGGAATAAAGACAGTGTTAGGAAAAAATAAGTTCCAAACCCCACACTAAAGGTACAGTAATTCTTGAGTCAGGCTGTCTAATTTATTCTCTGACCAGAGAACTTGCCCTCAAGTTTTGAACATTTGTGTGGCCTGAAAAAGTTTTTTTTTAAAAGAAAAAGTCTTGATCTGCTTAGATGTATGGAAGCCACTGTCATGGCTTCTGGATCACAGAACATCTAAGACTGATTTCCACTATACAAAGGAAAATATATCCTTCACTAGAAGCACTGAAGTTTGTGGAGCTCTTGTTTCAAAAGCAACGTATGTTTCTCATGAATTATACCTTATGAGGTTCTCCCTCATGAGGTCCCAGCGCCCCAGACCAGTCGGGTAAATGGGCCAAACAGCTGGTCCCCCTTCCCAAAACGTCCAGGCAGGATACATGATGTCATAGTATTCTGAGGTCTTTCAGAAAATAGAAAAGAAGCAGCAGCATGTTAATTGCAGCATTATGTTGCAATAATGCAGGTAACTCCATCATGTACTGTATGATAGCCATCCCCCAACTTTGTACAACTGACTGAACAAACAATCCATTGTGTACTCACCTTACTGAAGGAAAAGACAGGTATTCTTGGTTTCATCCATTTAGGCACCTGGGGATAGTCTCGTACATTGATAACCATCTCCATATCTGGAAGGTCATCAATGATTTCCAGGATGAAGTGTTCAACTCCACTACACCTGCAGACAATTTAAGGGGCAAACCATACAGTAGGTATGAGAATTACAGTGAAGGTGAACCGATTCAAATTACAAGAAAGGAAGAACTTTCCGAAAGGAGGCAGGGGTGCACTATTCATTTTGGGTAGTGTGCATATGTATGTGTGTTTTGGACTTGACTGCTATAATTCTCCAGGCAGAAGTCTGGGAGCTGCTACCCACAGACACACAGTGAGAGAAAGCGGCCCACAGCTACATTTCACTCAGCTGGAATGAGGTCTATCTTCCATGCTGTCTCAGGCCTGCTTCATGTACACACAAAAAAATTGTCCCACCATATCCTGGTTTTATGGGAGGTATAATCTTGCTGCTCGGTAGGTTCTATACAAGGCACCACTATAAGAACTACACCTCCCACAAAGACCAAGTCCTCCTAGGAATAGTAGAGCAGCTTCCTTTTTTGTACAAGTAGGCCCAAGACAGCATGGAAGATAGGCCCTGCCTCAGCAGAGTGAAATGTAGCTATGCGTAGGGGTCTACAGGTGTGTGTGGGCAGAAACTTCCAGAATTCTGCTTGGGGAATTTTTCAAAAATTCTCATAGTCTGAATCCAAAAAACGAGTAACAAATGAATGGATAGGCTGTGGACAGTGAGGAAAAGTACAAATTTCTTATTATGGCTTTGGCTTGATTTTCATACTACAGAACAAAAAAGAATAAATGGTCATTTTAATAAAAAGTTGGATTTCATTTATGGAATATTTCAAGATTTTCTTGATTCCCAAAACACAAGTTATTTCTATTTTCTAAACCTATTGATTATTTATTTTTAAATCTCATTTTTCTTTCTTTAAACAAATTCCAATAAAATATAGTTCAATTTAAGTATAATTGTGTGAAATTGGCACTGTTAATTTTTTGAAAACTGTACTAGATTTTTGCGTATTAAAAATAATTTACTGTAATCAAACTTATTTCATGGTTTCAGTTTGCTTGTAAATATATTTTTCTACAAATATTTTTAAAATGAACTTGCTGAGTCACTGTAAGAAGGAATAATAAGAAGGCTGATCTACCTCATAGGTTTGCTGGCAATATACATAAGGCACAATGAAGCATTTTAGTATCTTTTCCCAAACTTTGCAACTTCCTTCTAAAATTTATTTGCTCCGCATTATTATTTTAATCTACTTGGCAGGATTATTTATTACTTGTTAAAATATGTCAGATCACTGACAAATTATTATTGTGTTGCTTCATTTTTATACACACAAGCACATTTCAAAAACACAAAAATAACTGGAAAGTCCCCTAAACAGCCAAGTTGAGGAGTAGGAAGTAAGAAAGTGCCATTGTTATTTACATGTTACTTCCAAGCTCTGTCTTCTCAAGGACTTCAAGGCAGTATACAGACAGTTTTTCCCTGACCTTCCATTTTATCCTACTAACAACCCTGTGAAACAGCTCGTCCCACGAGCATTCTAGCTGGATAAGGATTTGAACCCAGATTTCACTGATCCTAGACTCTAACCACTACACCATACTGGTGAAGTGCCAGTTCCTTTGCCTAGAAGGACCGAACAGCAAATGGACAAAGAAGAGGAGCACATGAGGAAGAGACATTGGTATGAAACCTTATAACCCTGCTCCCTTTACAACTGCTATGAATGAAGCTTGATACAGCGATAAACCCCTCCTGACATCCCAACAAGTCTTGTTTGAGACAGCTCTGCAAGTGATTCCTTTCAATTATCCTTGTTCCCCAGAGGTACTTATTCTCCATTTCTTCCTGCCTCTAACCCATATCACCTCCTCACACAACGAAAGTGCAGTGCCGATATTGATTTCTCACAAAAGCAAGAGCAGTTTCTACATGTCAGGCAAGGCAATGCCTCATCAGTTTCTTCTTATCACACCAGAGTTTAGCCCTTTCAAAGATTCTCGGCTTAATGACCCATACATTGAAGAGGCAAGGAAGGTTTCCCTGTTCACTCTCTAATGGGTATGATTTCGTATTGCTCTCACCTTGCAGGGAACATGCAGTCATGCTCACGGTATAACTTCTTCCCAACAATCTGGTAGTGGGTCCCAAGCCTTCGACTGATTGCTTCTGACAGCAGCTCCTCAGAGATCCCCTCTTGAAAGGGAGCCAAGTCTTGTTCCCTGATTCTAAGGCAAGACAGATTCTACCCGTCATTAAACACTTTGTGGAAAATTAGTGTAACAACTGTTAATAGGCATTCAGGAAGGGATTCCCACTTGGGAGCCAGCCCTACCATTGCAGCAGAGTAGGGATGTGGCTGGACTGCCACTACCCTCAGCCTTAACCAGCATAGCTAACAGTGCAGAATGTCAGGAGTTGCAATCCAACAACATGAGGTCTATACTTTGTCTACTCCTGCATTAGGCATTCTTTGGAGGTAATGGATGTTGAATGGATGGGGGAAGATGCTGATGGCACCAGGTCTTTTCAAACCCACCCCTGCCATTCTTCTTCAGTCCTCTAGCCATTCCTAGTCTCCTGAACCAGTAGCCTGGCAGAACCTCTTGCTTTTTGGTAGCCCAAGGTATCTTGTACTCTCATCTTTTCCCAATTATTTCACAGACAGCATCACTGGGCTATGGTCCATGAACGAGCAAGCAGGCAAAGAGATAACCAGCCCAGCCTTTTACATTATGTGACATCAAATGGGAACCAACTTACAGTGACCCTAATAGGGCTTTCAAGTTAAGTGAGATGCATATGGTGTGGTTTTACCAGTTCTACACCCCTCAGTGAGTTTCCATGGCTGAGCAAGGATTTGAACATAACTCTCTGGGGTCCTAGTCTGTCATTCTATCCACCACACCACACTGGATACTATGGCTTGAAGAATATTCCATTTTTTGGAACATGCTTCTAGAAACCAACAGCTGCAGGATTCTGGGTAATGCAGGCAAAAAACCCAGGTTTTCTAAGGTCAGGCCCAGGCCATGAACTGAAATGGGCATTTCATGGCATGTGTGCAAATGTTGTTTTTCTCACGCTGATGCCACCCTGCCATCTGCATAGGCAGCAAGCAGGCAGTAGACAGGGCCCCTCCTCCCATCTCTGAAGGTACTGAAAAAGGAAAAGGGAGTGAGCAGGCATGAGGCTTTGCCATATTACCTTGTAAGATGTTTTTAGAGTAACACACAATTATCAACTCTGACTACAGCAGCTCTCCTTAGTCTCAGGAGGCAGATCTCTTAGAACCTGTCCAGGCCTTCTGTTTTACGCATAAGATGGGTTCTATAATTTTAAAAGTAACTTTTAAAAAACTAGCAATACCATTTGATATATATATTTTGTGGGGTTTCATGGTTTATAACTATTTAATGTTTTTGTATACTGTAGTTTATTACACTTCAAAAAATTTTCAAAGTAACTTTGATACAATTTCTAGAATCTTCCACACTGCATGGCTACTGGCCACACTGACTGAGAAATTCTAGGAGTTATAATTAGAGATGAGCATGAACCACTGGTTCATTCTTCGGATACACAGATGTTCCACAGGTGCCCCGGCTTCCCTCCCCCGTCTCCTCCAGTGTGTACCCACTCAGAGGATGAGGCAAGGCAGGGAAGCCTGGGATGCTGCCTCTGAGTGGGGACCCACTGAAGGAAGGAAGCTGAGGCTCACACAGAACCTCTGTGTGTCCAGAAAATGAAGCATTATGAACCACTGAACCAGCAATTCACGCCCATCTCTAGTTATAATGCAAAAAAAAAAAAAAAAAAAAAACCCACACACACACACACACACACACACACAATGGCAGCTGGATGATTCTGGGTTTATGTCTCCAAAATTAGATTTTCAAGCTCTGGGGTGGGGGCTTACCTTTGGTAGCACTGACAGTTTTCCTTTGCACATGGTATGTAGTTTTCTATGGCTCTGTCAATCTGGATCAGAAATTTCTTCCACTTTGCATCTGAAACTTAAGCAGAATTGCATCCTCAGCAATCTATCACTGAAGGACTGGTGAGGCCAACGTAGAGGTGTACAAGTCTTCAGTCTTTAACACATAGTCTTCGACACTCAGCTCAATCTTTTGAAGCTACTGGTATGGTATGAGGAGGTCTGGATACACTTTCCTGTTCCATCACTGAACTGCAGAAAGATAAAACGAGCTCCTTGGGGAGGAGCATTTGGTCAGGGCTTGTTCTGCCACTAGCCAGGGCAAAGCAACTTCTTCTTGCCCATGGAGTCTGGAGCAACACCTTCATTTGGTTAATTAATTTGTTAACACAGCACCTACACATATGATGGAGGGGGTCATTTTCTGTCCCACCTCAGGCAGAATTACCTGGATCAGCCCTGTGTCCACTAATTTTAAACAAGAGGAAAAATTAAGAATAAACCTTCCCTTATTTCTGTTTTCCAGTACTTTCGACTCTCTTCAAAATGCACAACTTCAGAACTCTTCTGAATCCTTTCTCAAGGCATTGCATTTCTTACTGAGATGTATAGTTTTGTTAATCTTCCTTAGGTCACTAATGGAAGCTGCTGAAACAAACTTCCCTAAACTTTTTAGAGAAAAAGTACAACAATAATGTGAGATACCACACAGCGTGTCTGGGCAATGGTGGTATATAAATTGATTTGTTGTTGTTGTTTTTGTTTAACAGGAATGTGTAAGTAACAGAGTAATGAAAGTGGGGGACACTGATTTGTTGTTGTTTTTGTTTAACAGGAATATATAAGTAACAGAGTAATGAAAGTGGGGGACATTTGGCCCACGTCTCATGGCTTAATTTACTTGGGCAATGAGATTTTGCAATATCTGATACAAGCAAGTTTGCTCTTAACCCATTCTGGATGAAGCCAGGCGATACATGATGGTGGAGGATAAAAACACTTGAGCGTTTACAAGGAACTGGGCAAGAGGTGTTTTCTGAGCCGTTCAAGACTTCAGTTGACATGCTTTTGAAACTACAGTGAAATAGCCTTTAAAGAGAAACTTCATCCTTTGGTGAAGCCATGCACAATAGATGTCAGTTTCTTACCAAAAGGAGGAACCATCAGATGCAGATAAGGAAAAGCATAACTGGGAGGAATTTAGAGCAAAACCCCTTAGACAAAATGACCATTCAAAGAGGAGCACCAAGAGGGCAACAAGAGAAGAGGATGACTGTGATGACCTGTAGTCCCAAACTTGAGACAGTAAGACAGTATTCAAAGAGGAGCACCAAGAGGGCGACAAGAGAAGAGGATGGCTGTGATGACCTGATGCCTGCATGTAGTCCCAAACTTGAGACAGTAAGACAGCTTCACTACCTCCACTAGCACGTTGAGGGGTTATTTACTGCAGTAGTTCTCAGCATTTGAAGTTATGGACTTCACCTCCTGGAATTCCTTACTACTGGTCATACTGGCTAGTCTTCTGAGAGCTGATGTCCAAAGCATCTGAAGAAGCAAACATTTAGAACTACTGGTTTAATGCATCTAAATTACTAAATACACTGATAGATTCATTGCCTTCTTTATACATCTTAACTATATCCATCATGGTTTAATTAAATACATCCTTTTATTTTATTTCTAGCTGGCTGGATAGCTCAGTGGTTTAGGTATCTGGCTGCAGAGCCAAGGGTTAGGAGTTTGATTTCCCACTGTGCCTCTTGTGAATAGACCCAATCTGTGTGGCCTTGGGCAAGCTGCACAGTCCCAGGGCACCTCAGAATCAGGGAATGGTAAACCTCTGAGTATTCTCTTCCTGAAAAAACCGGCCCTGCCCTGCCCTGATAAGAGAAACAAGGAAGAAGAAAGAAATCAGGGAATGGTATTCTCTTCCTGGAAAACCCTGCCCTGCCTTGATAAGAGAAACAAGGAAGAAGAAAGAAGCACTTCAGAATTCTGTCTAGTTTCATTCATTTCATGGTTTGCACATTTTACTTTTCAATCCAAGACTTGTGGATTTGCTACTTTTACTCCCAAGAGATATCCCAGTGGGAAATGAAGACACCATACCACAAGAGGGCTGCTGTAAACCCTTAACAACTCACCTTGGTTAAGAGGAAAGCTGCAGGTATATTTCTAAAGCAAACTGATGAGAGACAAACTATGTCTGAATAACTAGGCATAGGTTTTCACAATAGAAAAGGGGGCATTATAATAATTTTATCTCTTTGAGTAATGTCCTTTGAAGATGCTGGCCGCAGAGACTGGCAAAACCTTAGGAAGAACAACCTTCAGAACACGGCCAAAGAGCCCAAAAAACCCACAACAACCATTAGATCCTGGCCATGAAAGTCTACGTGAATACATTTATTCAATAGCATTGTTTTTTTCTAAAGATCTTCACAACCATAATCACCATCTTGCTTCATGAATGTGATGAATGTTTCAGCAAAGTAGATCTTTGAAAGAGATAAACAGAGAGAAAGAACTGCCTAGTTTTTGACCTGGAAGGTGTTCCAATATCATCAACATCAGTAGCAGAGATGCAGAAAATTACATTCTTGGGTTTTTATTTGTTTGTTTGTTTTATTAGATTTATATACTGCCCATCAAGAACGTGTCTACTCTGGGCGGTTTACCACCAACATACAAATAAACTAAGGTAAAATCCAGATTAATCACAGAGTCCAAGATGGGAAAAGGAAAAAGTAGAAAGAGAAGAGAGAGAAAATTACGAATTCCCAAATTTCCACAGTGAGAATGGACAATTCCCAGAGAAGCCCTGCTCTGAGCATTGAGATATTAAGAATAACAATGCTGTCTGCTCAAGTCTCAATCTCCCCACTTCTTTTCTTTTTTAGGTACTGTATAAAGAACTCAGAAGTGGTTTGCCAGCCCCTCCCTCCTTCTAGTGTCGCTGTGCAGTTTGTCCAAGACTGCACAAATGGCTGGACACTTAACCCCTCACACACAGTTTGTGATCTCAGCTGGCCCTTCTCTCAGAAGGGTTAGTGAATTGCCAACTCAAACATATGCCACCATTCCCGAAGTTAGACTTACAAAATTATTGCAGGTCCTGAATATTTGAGGAGTGAATCAAGAGTGTCCGAGAGAATTCTTTATGGAAATTTGCAGCTGGATCACAGGGGATATTTTGCCTGTACTGTACTTTGTTCTTCCTTACTGACACAATTAGTAAATCACAAAAGCAGTCACCATCACCTGGGGGTCTTTATGGGTAAGATTTCCCTTAAATAGTCCTCCTCCTCCTCTTTTTCTCTCACAAGCGAAGCTAAAGAATTTATTTATTTATTTATTTATTCAATTTATATGCCGCCCACACTACCCAGAGGTCTCTGGGCGGCTTACAATTTAGGTTCGTATTTCAATTTGGTAAAAAGAATTCCTAATTATGTACTTAATTAACAGCAAGATCAGTACTAGAAACAGAACATCTTATGCAGGAGCAAAGTGCCTGACATTTGCTAAAAGTTTGCTGAAAGGAGAGAGAAGAGGACTGGTTCAGACACATCCTTGGCTTTGGGGCGTGAATCGTTCCGGGCAGCCAGAAGCGGAACGTGCGGCTGCTTGCAAAGCATTAAGAGACCGATCTATACCGGCACTTCTAAGGAAGAGTTTGTACACACTACACTATACACACACACATGTGGCATCAGCGTCCGAGTAACCTTACTTAACACTCACCGGCTGAGCTATTTCCCCAACAAAGCAGAAAAACACACAAAGCGGCAACATGTAGCAACCCCAGAGTCAGCGGCGGATGCTCCATGGTGGGACGGCCAACCCCCGCGCTTGCGCACACTCCTTCAAGCCATCCTTCGTTCCATTTTCATTCCTGGAAAAGGGGAAGGAGCAACGACTCCGCTAGCCCCCGCCCTTATTACGCATGCGTAAAGGTGACGTCCTGGCCCTTTCGCGTTGATTTGTGGGTTTTGTGGTGCATAGGCGAACGCACTTCGGGAAACTTTCCTTCAACACAGGCGACCCGAGTTTCTTTCTCAAATGGCAGGGCTTACGCTGTTGACACCGAAATACTGTACGCGTTTTCCAGGACTGCAGCCCTCGGGAGAAGCCTCACTGAGCTCATTTCGTTTTTAGCCCTACAAATACCTTTTGTACGCTCTGACTAGGCGCCTCGATTACATCTCGAAACTGTTGGATGTATTGCAACGCACATATGATGCCTTTCACAGATTTTGGCCGGGAGGGTTGCTTTTTGGACCGGGTTGAATGTCAGTCAATCCAGTGACAGCCCATTGTTTCTTCTCTACTTCTCTCCCCCCCCCCCCTCCCGTCCTTTCCCAGTTCAGGGTTCAGTTAGTCAGTGTTAGCAGTGGAACCTGAAGACAAAGTGATGTGTTTTGGAAACTGTGTAGCTAGTCAGTAATTAAGCTAGGTAAGCTCAGTGATATAACAAGTTAACATATTTTACACAATACAGTATTATATTTATCTTTATCTATGAAGAACTGTAAGTAGACAGAAACATTTCATTCTCATTACCAAAGACTGAATGAATATATTGAGACAGTTTTTTTAAATTTATTTATTTATTTATTTAAATTCAACTAAAGCATCAACATACAAGAAACAAAAACAGAGCAAGAAAGAAAAAAAGAACAGAAAAAAAGGAAAAACCCAAAGGGAAAAAGAGAAAAAAAATCCTGCTAAACTAATCCCTCCCCCTTTTGGAGTCAGAGACTCTAGCCTTATTAAGCCTCCGCTCTCCCCGGTTTGGTTTCCAGTGCACAGTATACTAAATAAACATACTGTACATAAAGGTTCCCCTTGACAATTTTTGTCCCGTCGTGTTCGACTCTAGGGGGCGGTGCTCATCCCCGTTTCCAAGCTATAGAGCCAGCGTTTGTCCGAAGACAATCTTCCGTGGTCACAGGGCCAGTGCGAGTTAGACACGGAACGCTGTTGCCTTCCCACCGAGGTGGTCCCTATTGATCTCCTTGCATTTGCATGCTTTCAAACCGCTAGGTTGGCGGGAGCTGGGACAAGCGATGGGAGCTCACTCCGTCACGTGGATTCGATCTTACAACTGCTTGGTTTTCTGACCCTGCAGCACAGGCTTCTGCGGTTTAGCCCGCAGCGCCACCACGTACATACTGTACATATGTAGTGAAATTTGCCCTACACTCCTGTCTTCCTCTGGGCCCAAGAATACAGTATATTAGAGACAGTTGAGGTAAGCTAGCAAACAAAGAGTGGTCTGCTGAGAGAGACTTGAAACCAATCTGCTCTGTAGGCCTCTGCCTGAACCATTTTATCCGCCGCATAATAAGAGAAAGTTTAATTTTAGAGTCACCCAACAATTCCTCACATATTCTGCCCCAAGAGAAACTTCCTGGGAGGACACACAGGATATTTTTACAAACCCCAAGGCGAGGATGAGGAGTTATTGCTCCTCTTGTGCTTTTGTCTTCCACCCATAAGAGCAATAAAGAAAAAAACAGGTGGTGCAGTGCTAGATCTTGTGCAACTGAATTTAATCTCATGCTTACGTGTTTTCTTTGGAATTGATCTCACAGGATTTAGTAAATTGTACAGATTCCGTCTGTGTGTAGAATTGCCAATCATCAGCTCACTTTAGGACACTGAATAATAACATGGGGTATAGCTGCCCATCTTATTATTTTTTTGCAGCCACATGCCAGTGGTTATCTAGGGTAGTCTTATGGAAATGAGAGTGGAGCATCTGCATCTTTGATGGTGTGTAAAAGTGGCCATCTCAGCAGGCAAACATCAGTAGGGTTTCCAGGTCTCAGAACACTGTCTGAAATCTCTGTGAATTCTTCTGTTTCTCTGTTACAATGCTCTCTCCAACTTACATGAATGAGCAATCTCCAAAATGTCCTTTCTTCCCAGCATTATTGTGTTTTCCAGGGACTCTTGCCTTCTCATGATGTGCCCCAAGTATGACAGCCTGACTTATCTACACACACTACACTTGATCTTAGCCAAAAGGCCGAGAAGCCTGACTTATCATTTTTGGCTCCAGAGACAGTTGAAACTTGTTTTCATCCAGAGCCACTTGCTTGGCAGTCCAGTGTATCACCAGCGCTCTCCTCCAGCACCATATTTGAAACAAAACAATTTTTCCTATTAATTTTCACACCTATACATGATGATTGGGAATTACAATAGTATGGAGCCTTGGTCTCCAGTGATACATCTTTATACACTTGATGACTTTCTCTAGTTCCTCTATTGCTGACCTTCTGAGTCCCAGTTTTCTTCTGATTTCTGGCTACAATATCAATTTGGATTGATGACTGAACGAAGGTGTACAAAATCTTTCAGTTTTTCAGTTTCTTAGTTGTCGACATTAAAATTTTGTAGTTCTTCTGTAATCATTTTTGTCTTCTTAATGTTCAATAGCAGTCCTGCTTTGGCACTTTTTTTTCCTTTCATCAGAAATTATTTCAAGTCATTGTGCTTTCCGCCAGTAAGGTGATGTCATTTACATAAATTATTGACATTTCCTACACTAATTTTCACTCCTCTTCCTTCTGAATATAGTCTGGCTTTCCATATGTCACATTCTGTATATGGACTGAACAGCTAAGGAGATAAAATGCACCCTTGTGTGACACCTTTGCCTATAGGAAGGGATTTAACCTGCTATTGAGTCTCTTCATAGTCTGTCCTAACAGTAGCTTATTTTCCACAATATAGGCTGCACATCAGGACAATCAAGTGCTAAGGCAAACCCATGTCTCCTATGCTTCTCGGGATCTCCCACAAATCTGAGCAGAAGCAGTGCTCCAGGAGGTCTGATTTTTGTGTATGAGGTGGTCCCAGGACTGACTAGACCATTTATAAAGGTGTTTGTATCCATATTGTGCTGGTACAATGTCAGCTCACCAAATAATTAGAAGCCAGGGAGAGGTGGCTCAATAGCAGATCAAATCCCTTCCCAACTCTTGCCTATCCCACACCTTCTCATGTGATATCACATGGGCCCACCTCCTGTATCCTTGTTTTGGCCCTGACATGTCAGGCAATGGGATGCTGCTGACCTGGCAAACTTGTAGTCATCCAGGCTAACTCTGCTTAAATCCTCCCTTCCATCCACATAGCTATATTTAAGTTACAAGAGGCCTTTTCATGTGGCTACCCTAGTTGTATCACATAGTTTCTCAGTATGAGTGTTGAGTGGGGGGAGGTGGGTTGTTTGCCTCAACATCATACGTTTATTCTTTTATTTTAATGAGAGAGCCAGTATGGTGTGGTGGGGAGAGTACAAGATTAAGGCGCAGGAGACCTGAATTTAAATTCCCACTCTGCCTCAGAAATTCCTTAGGAGGCAGCAGTGGTAAAGTACTCACCCAACATCTCACAAATCTTGACAACTCTGTTAGGGTTGTTGTAAGTTGGATATAAGTAGCACATATCAACAACAACATTTTCACGTCCATAGATATATTTGTGAATATTCTCAGCATCCAGGTGAGGTTATATGGACGTTGAGTCATGGCAACTGGACTTCTTTCTTATTAGGTTGAAATGTTTCGCTACTCATCCAATTAGCTTCTTCAGTCTGAGAAGAGTTGTCCCCCTATCCTCTGATAGCTGCACATCCAGCTAGTGAGCAAGTCCTTTAGATTGATCTTGGAGATGACTCCTCTTGAGAATCCAGTTGTCAGACTCAGACTCACTACACTGTTGTGAAGGCGAGTCTCCCCAGATCCAACACACAATCCAGATCAATGCCACTTGTTCTGTTCTGATTATGCCATGTAAATATTACATGACTGGAGTGTCCTAAAAACAGCAACAACTATGATGTCTGAAAAGGACTAGCTCATGCCAGCCCTGCAAAGTAGCACAGCTTTGTATATTTTGCATCTTCAGGGAAGCTAAAGCAATTTGCATCTGAAAGACAGCAGAGCTGTGCAAATCACAATTGACAGCACTGGGCTAGACCTACCAATGATGTGACTTGATAGAAGACATTCTCTGATTTATTCTATTCACTTGTACTTTACAGAGATCCACATCTGACTCTCTACTGAAGTACTGTCAGTCTTATGCAAACTCATTGGTTCTGAGTGTTAGAGCTGAGTACCACCAGTTGTATTTCTCTGTGTCATTCGAGCCAGGTGAAGTGTTGGACTAGTGTCCGTATAGTGTAATAGTCTGAATGGATAGTGGATTGAAACTGCATCTCATATTGTCAGCTATGACAACTCAAGGATAGGGACAATCTGGCCACATTGCTTTCTGTTTAGACAACTGCAAAGCTCTGTATGTGGTGTTGCCTTTGAATACAACATGGATGTTGCAGAAAGTGCAATGTGGACCAGTTAAACTGCCAGCAGGAATACCTTTTAGACCAGTTCTAAAAGTACTGTCCTGCATGCCAATAAGCTTCCCATCTGGTTCAAGGCATTGTTGATGATTTTTGAAGCCCTAAACATACATCTGCCTGACCATTAAGAACTGCTGGAGGAGACCTTCTCCATGCCCCACCACTGAGAATAGCTGGCTGGTGCAACATTGCATGTAATTCAGCATCAAATTAAACTGTGGATGTTCATCCAAGTACTGTATTGTGTAACTATAGAGATGTCATCTTCAGTCCTTCAGTTTGTTGATTTTGTTTTAATTGTTAAACTAAACTGCCTTAAAATCTGCTGATACATTGTACACTAGGAACAAACAAACAGGTATGCTTACAAATATAAGCCTATATATTTGCCTTGGGTTCTTTTTAAGGAAAAAAGTGAAATAAACAAATAAACAAACAAATAATTTTCTGTATTCCTATTTAAGCATCAATCTTACCTGCACTTACTTGAAAATGCTGAATCATTTAGCAAATTCAGTGGGACTCACTTTTGAGTATA